CATTGATAATACAACCACTGCTGTAGACTTTGCAGAAAATTATCTAATTTGACAGGCACATTAATTGCAATATTAGGGAAAATTAGTTTGAGCTAATGCCAAGCTGATGTGTCACGTACAACTTCCAGCCATGTTAAATGCGAATATTTGGTTAAGCATACCTCTCGTAAGAAAGTTTTCATGTAAACAGGTAAACATGTACACGAGCAAGTGCTTTTTTCCCCACCTTACAAAATATTGATCACTGTATAAAGGTTATCAACTTTCTGAGAAATATCCACGTGAAATGTCTTTGACTAGAGCGCCTATTTCATGTTTGCTCACACAGTGACCTTGAGGACTGAGTTCTATGTAACATCACAGAAGTGTGTGAGCATTCAGGCTCGCATATCTTTTGCAGGGCAGGAAAATCAGCAACTGAATTGGCGCACCTCATACAATAATCTTCCTGCCAGCAGCACATGCACTGCACAGACGTATCAAGGGTTTCTGCATGACAAACATTGTACCTGATATATACCTTTTGGCCGTCTTGTAATTCCTGTTCGTACATTAGGAACGTGGCGACATAAATAACTTATACTAGACCGTGTATGCACCTTTTGTATACATCATGTTTATAATAAATTATCACCAACCCTTTTTCTATTAGTAAAGTTTCCAAATGTATCCCGTGCATGGCTGTCATTAATTTTTGAGCCACAGTTTGTAAATGGACAGGTTTAACTTGACATCAAGTAAAAGTACAAGTTAGAATATAAGTAAAATATGATTATAATATTTACCCGTTATATACATGATGTCATAAGGTTGTGTGTACAGTATTATATTGGTTTATGTGTGTGTGTGTGTGTTTGAGGAGCGGTAGTGCAGCGGTTAGCGTGCTGCCCTACGAACCCGAGTTAGATTCCTGCTCACGGCCAACACGAGTTATCTGAACCGGTCCTGGACTTCTCCTATGTCAACTCAGCCTCACCTGAGTACCCGATGAAGTGTGTTAAACATCGCCACTTGGGAAACAAAGGTGGTCGGGTGTGGTGCTGGCTACCCCCCCCCCCACACCCTTGGGTGCCGCGCCGGCCTCGATAGGTTCCCGCTAACCAGCACTTGCCCCAAAGAATCTCTAAAGGCGGCTATACGGGGGATCTTTGTCTTTTGTTTGTGTGAAAAGAAGGCTTGCTTCACTGCGTTTTAAGCACGCTTTGTCAGCTGTTGCTCAGACGAGGCCAACACAAGTGGCAGCCACAGCGCTTGCACGCCCTCGCTTAAAGCTCAGGGATCTCTGTCTCAGTCACAGCAGCAGCAGCTGCCGTTCTCCCCCCACCTCCTCCTCCCTACCCTATTGAAGTGCAAATTCAGCCACGCTCCCCCCCCCCCCTGGAGAGTCACACAATGGCAGGCGGGGACGCGCCCGCTGCATTGTGCTCGCTCGGGCATGATTGGCAGCCACTCGGGAAATGGGATGCTGCAGCAGCGTGGCTTCCTGGAGACGGGGCTCTCTGCTGCCTGCTTTGCTCTCTGCAGGCTGAGGCTAACCCCCGCCACCCCGGCTCTCCAAACTCTGCCGTGCCTTTACCTACGTGACTTTACCGAAAAAACCTAAGAGTTTGAATCCTTGCAGTCACGAAAGCTTCAAATCTAGAATCTCTGCCGTGCTCTTTGATTGCCCCCGGGGCAGCGCTGTCTGCACGAAATGATTTGGCAATTCGAGGAGGGGCAGGGGGCGGAACGCAGTATATTTCGGAAATCAGTTGCGCAGTGAAAGCATTAATTTCTACCATCTACTTGGGAACATTAGTTTCATTGATGTGTTGTTTTTCGACTCCCCTCTCCCCAACCTTGGGGTCTTTATGATTGGAGCTGTATAAATTGGCTGCGTGTGGTTAGTGATGGCATGAAGATGTAATTTTTTTACGCAATTAAATAGTTTACGTTTGTAGCAGTTGGTAAATATTTACACACGTCACGTAGATAAGCAAATCACGCACATAGATGAAAGTTATTATTGATGATTTTCGAAACATTACCAGTATTGTACTTTTTAAAATCACATTTGCTGAGCACAGGCACAGAGGTAATGTCCAGCAACAAACAGCACTACTGAAATTGTAGTAGATGCCATTTCTTGACTTGAGAGGTTTTAATAACTTGTGTAAAGAGACGACGTCTGAAGTGGAGAGCCTTTGCTGTTGTTGAGCTTCGTGTTTGTGTTTAGATATCACTTTGCCTTTGTGAACAATTAAGTGAACATTTGTGTTTACTACCTCGTCTATGTTTTAAATGGTATGTCCAAAAGCCATTCTCATATACGAATGCAAGTGTGCATGCAGCATGGTGGAACAATCAGTTGGGCCATTACATGGAAGTAAACATCCATTCTTGATTTCCGCCTGATCTTTTGTTAAATCAGAATGGTCTCATTCTCGTTAATGCAGGATATATAGCGATTCAACGCATCGTTGAATTGGAGGTGCTTCTGAGAATTTTTATAGCATTCTAAACGATCGGTTTAAATAGGGGAGTGTGCTAAGGTTGTCTGAATCTGTGTGCAACATTAATTGCTCCGTACGGGGGTATCTTTACGTGAACATTTAGTGTCGGGTCCATTGGCCAGATGTTGTCTGCCATAAATTGCATTCTTTTAATATAATGTTCCCTTTTGCCATTGGTGCTTGCTGTGAATAAATATTCCATCCACTTGTATTGGATTTAACAAGCAATCTGTTTTACGTGCTTGTGCCGCATGACCCTGAGTGGAAAGCTCTTTTTATAAACAAGACGTGTGCCTTTCTTTATAGATCCATTTTTTTTATAGGGCCTTATTAACCAAAGTGATGTGCTTCCAGCATCCACTGATCAGTCTGGTTTTTGTATTTTGTGCTTTACAATGCTGAGAAATGGTTGGCATCTACTGTAAATGAAGCGTGTTTGTGAAACCGCTGCTGGATGAGGGCCTCCCTGATAGTAGGTTTTATGGAGGTTATGTCATCAAACTTCACCATGCTGGCCGATTGGGGAGGGAGGTGAAGGTGGGGAGTACGTATATATATATGGGAGCATAGTCTGGTACAACATATCATTTTGATTTACTACCCTCTGCTAGCCACAACATAGCCCTCACAGCTGCCTCAAACAACCCGTATGATGCATAGTGGTTACCCATACAAGCAGTATCTAGGCTAATCCTTAGCTTCTAACATTGGATAAGATTTGGTGCATTCTGGGTACTTTGGTCAAAAGGCCTTAGTTATTTAATTAACAAGAAAACAAACTTAAAGTATGTTGAATTCTTACATTCGTAATGTACAGCATAAGATGAAGCAAGTACTGTAGTGTTCTCACTTTTTTAAAACTAGGCATGGTAATTATTTTCATCGCTGTCTTTTAATTCATTTGGCCTGTGTCACACCCATTTGACTTAACGTCACAACCCTCAAATCACTGCTCTAAATGCCACTTTACTGCAGCTTGGCACTTTAATACAACACGGATTTGAGTGCACCTGTGTGTGGAAACATGTAGTGTAGCACTTTAAGACTTAAAGGGGCAGATTTTATGTCTGAAATATGGATTTGGGTGCAGCTGAGTTGTAAGGAGTGGGCCCCTTTTAAGTCTGAAAGCAGAACGATGTCGCAGGATCATGCCGTACTACGCATCAACTGCACACATCACCGCTTGTCTAGCTGCCTAAACATGTTTGGAATAGAGTGGTTTGACAAGTTTCTTTTCACTTTGTTTCCTTTCAAAATATGTTTTTTTTAAGTATTAATGAGGCAGGGTATGGATTTAAATATCTATATAGGGACTCCTTTACTCACGAACTTTCAGATATACCAACAAACCTGTCCGTATGTTCAGTTGCCTGTTCGAACCATGAGTCGTAAGGTCAAATCGACTTGCGAACAGACCTGGAACCTTGTTCGTAAGTAGAGGAGTCCCTGTACATGCAGTGTCACTTTGCCTTTGGGATAAGAGTGCAGCAGCATCGTGTGAGCAGAGCAATATGATTCGGGAGGCGACTGCGATTTGTATGCATTTTTTGGATTGGCAATGTGTGCGTGCGCTGGTTAATTGGCTTGGCATGGCGTAACTCAGCTAGCAGACATGATGTGTGTTTTATTGAAGGATAACGTTGCATTTCCGTATTTTTTTTTTACAATTTGTAAATAAAGGGGGACTTTTCAGGCAAACGTAAAAATTATGTAACTCACAACTTTTTGAATCGTTCACTTTGATCATAAGTAAAGGATATAGTAATAGCTACCAAGGTCTTTCGGTTTTTAATCAAGTTTTTGTAAACGCTTTGAACAGGAAATGTTAATGAACATGCAATGACATATATCCCTTTGACATTTCCAAAAGAGTGATTGCGTGACTCATGTTCCATGCCATTGTACACCCTTGTTTACAATGAGTGTAATAGAGCACTAAACATGTTTTTATACGTCGGTACGTGAAGTATATTATATTGTCCAGATGGTTTGTTTTGCAAGATGTATACAAGGATGTTTCATGCCGCACCCATGATTTATTTGCTGTCCACGTAAATGTCATCAAACTGCGTGGGAGATTTCTTCACACACAGCATTGGGACATGAATATACATAGACATGACATAGTTGTTTTGTAATCCATTTGTATAATTGTTTTTGGCATTCAAGCCAAAGACGAGTAATTGTCTCTCAAGTGAGCGATGGGGCAGTGGTCATCTTCATTGGTAGCCCAGAGGCAGTGTTGTAAATTCGATATACCCATGTTTGGGGCTTATTCCACCATAGGATATTCATTGTTGGCTTCATTACACTAGAGGTGCCAAGTTAACCCCCTACCCAGGATTTAAACTTGTCCTCTTACAAATGTAATTCAAGCACTCGGTCCACAGTGCCGGGCCAGAGCCAATTGACATTGCCAGAGCAGTAGTAGAAATGTGGATTTCATGACTTACCGAGTATTGAAATAATTTTGCGCTAATTTTCGTCATCTTCTTGCTCGCGTGCAAGGCAAGTTCGAGGAGAAGGAGGACCGTGTGCCCAAGCTGGACCAGCTGAACGCGCTGGGCTTCATGAGCCACATGAACCTGCGCCTGGGCAAGCAGGAACTGCGACAGATGGAGCTGCTGCTACTCGACTCGTTCCAGTGGAACCTGTGCCTCCCGACGCCGGCACACTTCATCGACTACTACTTGTGCTCGGCCGTCAATGAGACGGACCTGCACAATGGCTGGCCACTGCCTGGCCTGGCCAAGAGCCGCTTCTATATGGAGAAGTACACCCACTACTTCCTTGAGGTGTCTCTGCAAGGTGAAGGTTCCCTTATTTCCTTCTGTACTCTAATTTGTGTTACCTTCAGTATGACGATGCTTCCGTGCCCGGCAATTCTGGAAGTATTTCTAAAGAAATTCCCTGAAGGCACCTGCTACTTTTCGGGCTCTGCACCATCGCTCAAGCAATATCTGTACCAGAAGCTTTACATTTTTGGGGGCTGGCACCTGTTTATTAAAGGTGTCCAGTGATTTAAAGCCATTTTTCTGGGATTATGTTAAAAAAAAATATCCCAAGAAACAAATAGCTCTTGTATCGCGGCTGTTTAAACGATCGCAGATGAGTTTTAACTTAAATCATGAGAAAGATATTTAAAATAACTTAGGCACACTGCTGTCACTCAAGGGATGTCATTCCTTTGCTAACTTATTTAAAGGTTGAGCAAAACCGTCTGCGACACAGTCTTTAGGTATGTTTGTGCATACAAGATGTTTTGTGTTGTGTGATTAAGTTTGTTTAAATAGGTCTTATGTTACGGAGCCCATAATTTGAGGAAGCCCTTGTGTGAGGACTGTTCTTTTGTCAAACACTGGACCAAATACATTAATTTAATAAAATAAATTTCACCAACAACACTTATGACTAAATCCTTTTCAGAAGATTTACTGGTTGTTTTGTACTAAAGTACAATGAAGATGCATTCCTTACATTCACCATTCCACAAGGCAAATTGGTATGTCGTGTGAACTGACCATTTGCGGTGTGTGCATTGCCTCTTGCAGATCACGCGTACCTGAGGTTTTACCCATCCCAGGTGGCGGCTGCTTGCATTGCGGCCTCAAGAATCTGCCTCAACCTCACACCGTCGTGGCCTTCACATCTGCAGCGGCTCACCAGCTACACATGGGACCACCTGACTCCATGCATCGAACTCATGCTGCTGTAAGGCCCTCTTGCCATACTTACCCTATTTTGTCCCTGATGTGCTACTGCCGTCATGTCATCAGGCGGAGTGTACATTTTGATTGCTTGCAGTCCTCAGATTAGGGAATGGCCCAAATCATTTTTCAGAGATGCCTTCAAGTACTCTTTGGTTCTTTCGGTAAAGTCACATAGGTATAAAAGCAGCAGACCATGCTTTCCCTCCTGATGATGGACGCTTGTGTTGCGCCCGGAACGTCGTGATTTATTTTATACCTATGTGACTTTACCGAAAGAACCAAAGAGTATGGGTTCTTGCAGTCACGTAAGCTTCAAATAAAAAAAATGCCTTCAAGTGACCTGCTCCGTACAGGAGGGGGCAGCACTTTACCATTTGCTATGGCATAAAAGAATAATGTTTGGTGCATGACGACCTGATATTTTCATTCTCAGAGTTGGAATACAGTAGTCCCTAGGTTAACGTTTTTAATCCGTTCCATGAAAACTACTATGAACCGAAATAACAGTTAATCGAATTTAGGAATTAAATGTAAAACAGAAAACAATGTAAACAAAGCCAGTTGAGGTCTAAACGCTCATAAATGGGCGTCACTGATGGGCTGAGGCATGCTCAGTCCATTTATGAGCGCTCTGATTGGCCGAAATTGGCGCCCACATGCATAACGTAAACATTTAGTTAATCTAAAATGTTAATGTTAGTCGAAGCCATGGGGTCCTATGGTAAGCGAAACTTTAACTGAAAAACCGTTAACTGATGTCACTGTTAACCGAGGGACTACTATATAGCCAAATTAAATGCCAAACCAAATTTTATGCAATGTTTTTTGGTGTCATTGGTGAACAGGCTGAGATCCTGAATTGACTATACTCAAGAAACTGGTTTTAGTACAAAAAGTATAAGATTAAAGATAAAGATTGGATTAAAAATAAGCCCATCACATTGGTGTGAGATCATGATTGACCCATTTCACCATGTTGGTACGTAGGATTATGCAATTACTATTTGTAGATGTTATTTTATATGGTTTGTTGGATTTCTGCAATGGTAGAACAGACGTTTACAGATGTGCTTATTTTGAACAGCACTGACAACTTGAAAATATGTACGGATGCGGTAATGTAAATGTTTGCACAATCTGATCTATGCAAAATTAAGCTGAATATTATTTTGAAAAAGAGAACATTTGTTTTAGGAACCAATTTGAATGCAGTAATTGTTTATTATGGATATGCCTCGAAAGCAGCTTTCAGAGTGGCCACCGATGTAAATCACACTCAAAACAAATGAAAGGCATTTTATGCTGCCTTTTTGAATGAAATAATTGCAGCACCATTTAAGGATCCTTATTTTTTGCCAGTATCAAAAGGCTCCATGATGGAGCTGCCCCCCTCCCCCCCGAGTGACAAATGCTCTGATACGTGCATTGGCTTTGTACTCTTTGCCTTCTAGCGTTCGCTGGTCTGACACTGGCGCGACTAGGCCATTAAGAACGCTGTCTCGGGTCTAGGCCAATCCGTTTACAAGACAATGCACATATATAATTATCAGCGTTTGTTTGCATATTCACCATAAGTACATGTGGTTAAAACAGACCTGATTCCTTGAAAAAGGTTCCTTTATGGTGTTTGAACATCTTACAAAGGTGCCTTGAGACATGAGTGGAAGGCGCTTTACAAATAAATATAAAATTATTATTATTAACACCTGTTGTATTGCCAGAAATGGTAAAACCTGTTCTTATTTCTCATACAATTTAAGGAGTTTGCTTTCCATGTTAATTATTTTGTGTGTCAACATATGCATGCAATTGCCTGTCATAGTTTTAGATTGAGTAGCAAGTGTGACTCCCCTGTATTAAGTCATTACACAACCCAGGCCCACTATTTGGCAGAGGAATTGCAAAATAATGATCCAAACTGCAAATTACACTCCGGTGATGGAGCTGTTTTATGACATGAACGGCAGACAAACTTAAGAATAACTGAGCAAGCATTGGGGGTTTTGCCACCAAAGTTGTAGAATGGCTTGCCAAATTAGAAATGGACCCACAATGAATAATTTTAAGACTAAATATAAGATACTTTTTCAGATAACACATTCATCACTTACATTAAATGGACAAAAAAGAGACAGGTCCCAAGCACAGTTTAAAATTTCAAATGTTTTCTCATTTCTCCATGTATATTGTCTATACTGCATAATTTTTTTGCTTTGCATTTGGCCTTCAATCACTCCCTTACCGAGTGATTATATTGCTATTATCTCAAGTACCCGTTTGTTCTGGTGCCATGAATGTCACTGCATGGGTGATGTGGAAAACTAATGATGATAAATGATTATTTTATCCCAGCAGAGCACATGAGAACGACACCAAGGAAGCAACCAAACAGAGCCCCCTTCACCACCACCACCACCACTCTCCCCAGCCGCACCGTTCCCAGGAGCTGGCGTTCCAACCTTCCAACGTCGCTCAATCGCCACAGATCTCGCTGCCGCTTATCCCACAGCCGGCGCAGATCTCGCACCCGGCCCTGCTGCATGAGTCGCCACAGATGGAACATTCGCAGCAGCGCTCGCAGCAGCATGCTCACCACCACCTGCACCACCACCCCCACCACCGTCACTCATTGCAGCTGATGCAGGGTGTTCATCTTCACGAGTCGCCGCAGCTGGGCAGCAGTGGCCACCTTCCGCATCCGACACAGCAGGCACAAACGTTTGGCCAGACTCAGATGTACGGTCACTCTGCTGTGGCAGCTGTTGCCTCCACGTCCACCACTTCCTCCTCATCATCAACATCATCATCATCGTCGTCTTCGTCGTCGTCATCCCTGCTTTCTTCGTCACACATGTTGCCTGGGCACCTGAGCCTGGCTGCTGCATGCGCGCCTGCCACCCAGGCCTACCCGCTTTCAGCACTGCAGGGCGCAGCCCACATCCTGCCCGCGCAGGCCCCGATGACCCTCGAGGTGTCTATGGTTGCCGACTCCACCAAGCCATTCCTCAGCGGACCCTACAACATGAGCTTTAAGATGTATGGCCACTACGGCGGCATCCCGACAGCCTGCTTCGAGCGGTAGCTTTGCAAAGAGCCCACCTGCAGCAAAGACCTGCTATTTTGTTTCATATTACCTGGGTTTAAGTCTGCCTCGTTGAAGATTTTTTTTGCCTTGTTTTACCTAAGACTACTGGGATGCTGCCATCATACGTCACCACTCTGGGGAGGATGAAGTAAAACCTCGTTACAACACTATTCAGGGATAAGAACACTAATTATAGGTAAACAAGGTGGCAGCTATTGCAGAATCACTTTTTGGATTTGCTTTCGAGTTATAATTTTTCCCTGATTTCTGGTCAGTGCCAAATGCTGAGGGGGTGGAGGGTTAAAGGCAGGAACGAGTTTTCAGCTCTGTGCATGTCAAATGATCTTGACTAAGCAACGCAAGCAATGCAAGTTTTTAAAGAAGATTTTTTGTAATGTTTCCTTGGCCTTTGCTGATACTAGGTGCATCTGCGGTTGACTGGTTGATTGCTGTCATTTGGTAGTGTCCACAAGTTTAGTTGGTAACTTCGCTGGGGGTTTGTCTTGCAATTGACTGTGAATTGTGAGGAATCCACGGTTTTTTTTCCGGGTTTGGAATTTGATACTTGAATTAACGAATTACCTCCATTGCGATGTTGCATTATGCTTTTGCACTGACATTTGTATAATGGATGGTGTAATTCCAGCTGTGATTATAGTCATCCCATCGATTCGGTGTTTTGTGCATTTCTTGATAAAAGAGTGCAATGGTAAAACGTTCAAATAATTGTTACATATGCACTGTTTTAGCTGTACGGTTGTGGTGACAAAGCATCCATCTCCAACTTGTGCATTCTTTTGGATTTTTTCTTTAAAATACATTGATCAAATATGGTATGCAGCAGACATTTTTGTGTTGGTCAACCGCCTAAATTGTCATTTCTAAATTTTAGCAATCAGCCTGCAACAAACAAAGTACCTGGCTGAATCAACAACTACTACTGATGTTAATTGTACATATGACATTGTATGCCCTAGCTGAGAATGTTGAATATTTTTTTAGCATTGGTAAACTGTAAAGGAAAGTATTTGCTACAAGCATTAAAGTTTTTCTCCCATTTCCTCTGACTTGTTTTCAATGCATGCTTTTTTTACTTTGTCATGTATTTAAATGCTTATGCTGATCATTGGTGCAGTTTTACCCACGGGTTCCGTCCACTGTATAATTTGGCATCGTTTGTAAACTAATAGCATTATCATTTAAATTACCTCAAAGACCACTTGGTTTTCGACAAAAAAAAAGATATTTGTGAGGTGTACATTTTTTTATTATGTTTTTGCATATTTTTTCATGGCCAACGTTTGTCAGTGATTTAGACTCATTAACGTTGCTTTTTTATTGTGTGTATCACGGTTTAGTTGTGCCTTTGCTGAGAATAGGTAGCTGCCAAAATTTATTTGGTTTTCATTTACAGTTTGGTTTTATACAGGACCATAACACTTTCTGTTAGTACTGTAAGTGCGATATGCATAGATGAAAATAAAAGCTGTACAAGTGCTTCAGTTGTAAGCGGTTATTGCAGCTATTTGCTGTTGTACTTGCTAAGCTAAAGATTGTAATTTTGGTGGGCATGTTATTGCCATGTATTTCTGTAATATTTTCTTGTTGGCGTCTATATCACTGCTAATGGTGGTGAAATTATTTTGTCATTCAATGTATCCATGTATTACATTACTACCAATTCCATTTTGTTTCTGTTGGATCACTGTATTATATGCAAATTTGATTTCTTTTTTTTAGTTTGAAATTAGATACATTTTAGACGCTCAAGTTCAACGTTCTCTTTTTATAGACCATATTTTACATACTGTATTATGTTTGGACCTAGATTTGAACATATCCTCATTAATTTCTATTTGAAAGTAATACTTTTCCAAACAGATTCTGTCTATTTTTAATATATGATGGCTGTGGTACATTATTGGTTCATTTTGTTTCTTAACTGTGCCTGCAGAAATTGGTCTGCATTTTAGGTAACCTGTTCACTACATCTACATTTCTTTCCACTACAAGTATATAACATGTTCCCGATTATTTGACACGCAAGGTGTGCAAATTGTCATGAGTTTGCAGTCTTTTGTGCGAAGAATTATGGTGCAACAATCACTGCTGTCTGATTGGATATTTGGAAAATGAATTATTAAAAAAATGTTTTTTTATGAATATTTTTTTGATGTTTTAAAAAAAAAATATTGTAAATGAAAATTTGAATGAAGGAACCCTTTTGCAAAAATAATAATCCTCTGTAACCTGTTTTAATTTAAATGGCTGGCATTGCTTTGAAGTTCTCTCCCCAGTCAGTAGTAATTGTGTTTTGTGCCAAACTAGAAGAGAATTTAAACATGTCACTGGTTACTTTGTCGGACTGAATCTGTACAGCAATAAATAATCATATTTGAAAAAATTAGGCCAAACACCATTTGGTCATACTCCAGTTAAAACGGATTGGACCATTGTAACATTTTTCAATGGTGTTCACTAATGTTGGTGGCTATAGATGACTGGCGTAATAGGGTGGGTTATGCAATATGGAAACTCAATGCAATGTACATGCTGTATCGGAAGTGGCTACTGCAAACCGTGGCTTTTGTTAGTCTGTGTGACCTTCCATAGCACCTATAAAAGTGTCCTTATGTCAAAAATAGGCAACCGAGGCATTTTACTGTATACAGGCAACGGTATAACATCTTTGCATTTGCTGTTAACAAAAGTGTATATAACTCTGCCTTCCACAATATATTTTCCAAGTAATTTTAAATTACACATTGACAATTGGTACGCTGCTGAAATCACGTTTTAATTAAAATATAACAAGGTGCCTTATCAGTGAGTTGTATGTTCTAATGGGGACTTTGTTTTTAAGGACATGTACATTTCCCAATAATCAATACTGTATCTTAAATATATATTTTTTAAAACTTTCTCTGGCAATTCTAAGGTCATCTGTCTCTTAAGCCAATTGTTTTTGTACGTAACTTGACACTATGGGTTCAAGTTTATGGTGCTCTAGTTCCACCAAAATGATGCAGCACATGTTTATTTTAACTTATTTATAGCACGGGTGATGTAGAAACCTTTGCTTTTTTGATTAGTATGAATATCTACAACAGTTGCTTAAGCCAAGTGGTTTGAATGCCTGGGGCTTTATCCTAATTATAATTGGTGTTTTTTTAAAACCTAATGTTGCTTCCTTTCCCCGTTTACTGATTTTGACATTCCCACACTTTTGCATCGTCTATTTGGAAACATTGTGCCATAGTTGTATTTTAAAATGATTTTAAAATGACATGGGGTTGTAACCTGTTGTGCATCATCCTGTCACTGCATCTGTTGGATCATAACCTCAAAGGGCATTATTAAAAGCACAACGTCAAATCAATACCCCTATTGCATGTCTTTTTTCCACTGCTTTACAATGCTAAACAAAGATTTGCGTGGTCTCAGGAGTGAGGGTGACATCTCAACACAATATAATCATGACTTCCAAATTGTCCATGAGATATGCAGGGTCCATGAAAAAACCGATGTTATCCGTGCCCCCATTATCTGCTACTTGTGATTTTTGTGGCATTTGCTTTTTATTCACGATTTTTCGCAGTTAGGAATCGCGCGGGAAATTCATCCTGTGGAGTAAAATTGCGGTTAACCCCGTGGATAATAGAATCCAGGATATTGGTCACCCCCACATCAAAAATACGAGGCGTTCTAAATGAGGAATCGCAGCTGGTTAATCTGGACGGTGTTTCCCTACTCCCTATCCTGAGCCACATTCCACACAACAGACGACGCGTAAACAAACAGTGAAGGAAGAGTGGTGTGCTGGCGAACACATTCCTGCGGAGGGAGCTGGTAGGAACGTTGGGTTGTTCGGTCAATGGCCAGGGTCAACAGCGGCGTGGTGTATTCCGCAAATATGCCCGACTGTGAGGGCGGGCACAAGCCGGCGTGAGTAGGTTAAATGTTGAGTTTTATAAGGGCACCACGGGGTGACCAGCCCCTCCCCACCCAGCCCCACTCCCCACCCAGCCCCACTCCCCACCCAGCCCCACTCCCCACCCAGCCCCACTCTCCCCACCCAGCCCCTCCCCACCCTCCAATCCCCAACCAGCCCCACCCCTCCCATTTTTGGATGCACGACGGACGGACAGGACACAATAATCCCCTGTGGTTCCTACCAGTATAAGTAAATGCTAAACGTTAACTACTAGAAACTTTTATTTTAGCAGGTAAGGCCCACTCAGCTATATAACTTTTATCAGAAGCGAACTGGCCACATGATAGCTCAACGAAGTGGCTTATGTGGAAATGTATAGCAGCCAAATACACTAAACGCGTGTCTCTAAATGTGGAGGGAAGAAAACCGGAGGACCCTGAGAAAATCTACGACCACGGGAAGAGAAAATGTAAACTTCAAATATACAGGCGCCAGGGTTAGGATCGAACTCACGACCTCCTGTATACCTGCCGAGATATTCAGGGGGTCCATATGTCTTGTGACCCACAACTAATTTTTTTTCTTTACATTCATTTCTTTTTGAAAAATAACACTTAAAAATAGTAAGTTTTACAGAATTAAATTGGAGGGGGGGGGGGATGTCACGAAACATCTGTACCACCATGTTCAGTGTTGTATTTATGCATAGGGCTGTAACAATTGCGAAACAAACAATCGAATATTTTTTTTCGGCGCAATGGCATTATCCATATTGAAGGAGTCATTGACGGTGACAAACGCCTCTCCATAAAGCACGACAGAGCACACAGAGCACTGCCAACCCGTTTTACACTGCAATTGACTATCAGTCTCAAGCGGTATTAATTAAGCATATGGCGACATGGTCATTATCCACGTGAAGCCTTTGCGTAAGTTTATGGCAGGAGAGATGGTAGGAACAGAGCTGCTGAGTTATGGGTGAGTCGGATGCTGAACACATTGCGCCCTTTTTCCACAAGCATGCGGAATTCTCGACTTCAGTGTGACAACACCAGTTAAGTCGACTTCACGGGAATTCGAAAAGGTTATGTCCACACGAGGTGTAAAATTAAGCCCCCCTCCCCCGCAGGTAGAGCTTGTGAAAAGGTCTCCCGACTGAAGGAACTTCTCCCACGCGAAACAAAATAGATACACAAGCATGACACTGTCTCCATCAAATATCTGTTTCTCGACAAAAAAAGCTAGGGGTTTTTTGTTTGTTTTACAAAACCCATCGGCCTCAATACCTTCTGAGATTGCATAATTTCAGCAGCATTCGTGCAGTGCAAGCAAACGGTATCACCATTCTTTCTCGTGTTTGAAATTATCATGCACAACCATAACCTGCAAAGAGCGATGCGCTCTTGCAAAAATATTACGCATTTCCTGTGTGTAACGTATATAGCAACAATGACGCTAGATTATTACACTGCATTAAGCACTCACCTATCCAATCACGCATGTATTATGTGCTGAAGCCAAGTACCCTAATTTAGAGATCTAACTTTGCTGTCATCAGTATTGTTTCATACTCCACGTTCAGTTGCATCGGCTGAATGCTTGATTTTATACAGCAGAACACAATTGGTTAGAAAATTCACATCTTAAACCCGACTTTTGAGGCTTAAACACTGCAAAGTAAATGTGTTTCCCACGGAACTATATTTAAACTGGCACAGAATATCACATTTGAGTCTGGACAAAGGTCAGCATTTTTTATTGACTGGTTCAACATACACGTTTTAGGATTATGTTGTTCGTATGCGTACATGTAAGAACGAGTTTAAAGAATATGCGTTATTTGTATCGTGCATTCACAGTCCCTTTGTTAATCCACTGCTGGATGAGGGCCTCTCTCTCTCTCCACGCTGTTCAGTCGTTGGAGCGTCCTTGACCCAATACACTCCAAGCTGGTGTCAGATTGAGGCGGTTTGCGCTGGTTCCATCTTATCAGGCACCATCTGACTCAGGTTCCAAGAATTGACCTCAGGTGGCCAGGTTAATTTAGCGCAGTGTGTGAACCACTCCGCTTCCCTATTATTTGCATATTCCATGAAAAAAAAAAACCCAGTGCAGTTTTATAACAATGCATTGTTCCAATTGCACTTGCCCCGGCAAGTTGGGAGGCATTGCAGCTGTCGAGTAGGGAGAACAGGACACGCTGGTTTTGTTTACAAGTTTTACTTTTGACCCCTTGGTGTCCAATTACCATGTGAATTAACGAGTGAATCTGCCAGCGTTCCTTCTTCCCTCGAACTACGGACGCACGTTAGAGCCAATGGAGTCACAATGTTGAAGATATTTGTCTTTCTTCAGCAAAATCATTCGCGTTTCAATGGGTATACTTTTTGAAAAAGGTAATGGTTTGATATTTGAATATTTATTAATGGGAGGTCATTGGTGAAGCCCTTTTATAATTTAAAAAGAGGTCACATTCCTACTCCGGAGTGCTAATTGTGGTGCATATTAAAGAGCAAGGCAACAATAGAGTTTCGGTTTTGTTTGAAATAAACAGGGGCTGATAAACATTCGTCCAGGTCAGTTTATTTTTCAAATTAAAATCCCACAATTGTAATGCTGCTTCTAGTGCAACTCTGTGTTTCATTTATGTATGTTCAACTTATTTCGCACAGTACGTATTCAACCGTGCTGATCTGAGGTGCGGGGGAAGGACAACAAACGTCGTTTTTAATGTAGAAATTAACCATTAAATTTCGATTTAAAGCTTTCGTGACTGCAGGGATTCATCTTCTTGGTTCTTTCGGTAAAGTCACGTAGAAGTGAAGTAATTAAATTATTTTATTGTGTTTTATTTTAATTATTTTATTACTTCCCTTCTACTGTGACTTTACCGAAAGAACCAAGAAAATTAACCATTCTTAGGCTCATTTGAAATCCACATTATATAAAGACGTGAAGTACAAACCGTGCTAAATAGAATGTGCTAACTATGGACATGGTATTTGGTCTATGTTTTTCTTATTTAGGCAATTTATTAAATAAACGTATTTATATCATGCCTTAGGTAACTCATTTTAACATGGAGCACATTCGTTCTCTTGATCTCAGCAGTAAGAGTATGCGAACCCTTGAACGTTCCAGTCATGTAGGTTTACACTTCTGTACACGGTGACTGTGCACATATTATTCTATTACATAGCTTGTACCAGACGTCAAAGCGGAATGATTAATAAGCCACACACAAACTGGATTTCTTCACAACTGTTACCTACACCCGCATGTATGGTGACTGTATTTGAGAAATATGCGGGACATTCAATTTGAGTAAGGTTGTTCATGCCAACCGGAAATTGAGTTTCCCTAATGAATGGTTTAGCCCCTGAACGGACCATAGATCATTCAGGCACCTGGGACATTTCAGAAGTGCACAATGGGGATTTCAATTACTGTCGAATAGTTACAAAAAAAAGTGTTGACGCTAATTAAACAAACGTGTAAAATAAACATCTAAAAAGATACATTTCAATGTAAGCTACGTGCATAAATATTGATAAACATAATTGCATCACAATGTTTTGTATTTCATTTTTAATTGTTCAACAGCTGAATGTTAAAACACATGGCCTTATTCATGATAAATGTACTGTTATACCTTGCTTATACCTCAATAATATTAAACCATTTGCGTTGACATCGCAAAGCTATTATGTGAAAGCCTCCTGTTAAGGGTATATGTTAGACTATAAATTGTAATAATAGAGCGAACAATACAACATAATATACATTCTAAATAACGTTTTATCGAAGAACAAAGCAGTAGTTTTTGTAAAAAAAAAAATGTTCTACGTGACTTTACCGAAAGACCCAAAGAATAGCATCAAAGATCGTTTTGCACCTCAGTTTTAGGCATGAGGCTGCTGACTCATTGTAATTACTGTTCATTTTTATATTTCTTAAATGACAATTCCTTCGCATCTCTTGTTATCCATGCAGTAATGCATCATATCGGAGTAGTAACGGTTGTTTTGAAACCACTGACAAGTACGAGTGACGTTAGCAGATCTGGAAATTATGTTGGATATCCCAGAAAAGCCTCACTGAGTCTCAAGACTCTTTTCAGGAGGGTCCTGCCAAGTGTTCGAATAGTGCCGATCTTGCTGCTGCTGTACGTGATCCCATCTGAGTGGTTTGCAGGTCATATTTCAGCATTCAGATGTTTGGTCAATGCTAGTTACCGGTAACATGGTATTTTATTTTTTGTTAAGCGATTAATGTGGGCTGCCCAGAATACAACGTGTCAGTTGACAAAAAACAAAGCGTTATCACTTAGTGCTAATTTGTCAATAGAGCGCTTTACTTAACATGTCACGCGGTATTTGTTATGCTAAAGGAAAACCAACCTGTTTCTCATTGTTAGCATGCAAGTTTAGACATTTACGTTTACTTCCATTGACTGGTGAAAGGTCACAAATCAAACCACACTTGGCATGATTTGTATTCGATTCAATGTCGTGCAAACACGCGGTGTGGATTAGTTTGGACGAAAATGTTGAGATTTATGCGGTAACACCACGACTCTTGCAAATGTCACAGCCTCGTGTATATATGCTCTTTAACATCCAATGTATTCCGTTGTGATGGGGTTTCTCGTCATTTACAGATATTGGAAATTGAATCCACCACACAGCAGCAAGACGTTGTTGCTCTTTCATAGCAGACAGTCGGGCATTCGGGCCCCCGCAGGAAATGAATCACTCTCCGATGTGTTTTTGGGGGGTCGTGTACCGCGTGTCGTTTCGGAGTGATGAATGATGTTTCATTCCGCCTACTGGGAGCTCCTTCAAGAACTGAACGAAGCAGCTTACGTTTCTGAAAAAGCTCCGAGCACGTGGATGAGCGAGGCATTGGATATCAAGCGGAATTGCTTATCATATATCCAAAAGACATTGGAGAGCTGTACAGCACAACTACAAAAATCTATGCCGAGGTTTAAACCATTGCTTATGTGCAAGATAATTATTCATTAGACAATGTATGTCAGAACAAATATGCTTATGATTTATTTCGTTATACTTATTTTCTTTTTATCAGCCTGAGGGTGCAAAACCCTGTTCTCTCAGAGGTACACATTCACTTCTCTGACATTGTGGGAATTTGCTCTTAAGCCACATGTACTACAGAATGTACTGTGATGTTTTAGTCGTAAACATTACTCTTTTAAACTCACATTACCACAAAATCTCCCTGGCTGTCCACTCCGTAATATAAATGTTTGAAGAAAATAGCTAAATATATTTGATGTCCATTGCCATCCTGTAACTCTTATATATCGTCTCTGCACAGATGCTCTGTACACAGATTGAGCAACTTAATACATTTTGCTCTGGAATAAGTCTGCTGGAGACAGAATGATGCCAACTACTCGCACGAAACATTAATTATCGAGCTATACATACAACGCTATACAGTGCAATGGTACAAATTATTGGTAGTAATGCACAATATATCTCTTATAGAGGTTAATCTCAAAGCAAAGACTTTTAAACCTCGGTGTGAGTAAAAAAGTAAGTAAGAGATTGAAATTGGTCAGATGCTTAATATCAACAGTAAACGTTTAGTTTACTATGAAATGGAGTGGGCACACGTGCGGTAAGTATATGCATGATAAATTCATGGCATCTGACCGAGACTTGCATTCGTTTCATTGCAATTGGTGTTCGACTTGGCCTTCCGTAATGCATGTAAACGAACTTGCATAGCTTGGGCGAGGCAGGTGGTGTCCTTATTTATCGAATAAGATGCATTTGGTCATAAGGCCAGTCGATAATGAAGGTGTGGCAAGCACATTCTCAGCATCCTGGATAATCTTCAGATCCTGACCTGATGAATTAGAAGTGTTGACTTCTTGATGCCATGCTGTCCCCCGATGAGAAGCAGTGGCAGTTTCTTGTAATGTTCAATGATATCCAGAATGCTGTCAAATTTCTAACATATTGAAAAACAAAAATAAACACTTTGTGCGAACAATTAGCACTCGTCAAATCCCATGCTTTCAAAAAGAGATCAATGTTAAGAGGCAGCAGCGTGGCAGCTGCCCCTTGCCTCCCTCCTCAACATGTGGACAGGGGCAGAAAGCTTTGTGGCTCAGTTCATTGCTTTGTAGGCCCTCTTTGGTACCTGACACGAACAGCGTTATTACCGTGTCCCGGTATTATTGTGATGACAAATGAGAACGTAGTATAGTCAAAACCAGTAGAGATCTGTTGTCCTTCCCCCGCACCTCCGATTAGCATGGCTGGCTATGTACTGGTACAAAATAAGTTGAACATACATACAACTTAACACCAAAAAATGTAACACCCCCTCCCTCCCACCCAAAGTATTTTTGCTTGGGCACTGCTCTCCTAAATTAAGTTAATACACCATTGGTATCTCATTTGCCAGTAAAAAATATGATAATTGTTTTTTTACCCTTTCATCTGGCAACAAAACTGACACCTTTTTTTACAAGGAGTCATGTTTGCATAGACCACAATACCTGCAGTCATAATGCATTGTCTTTGAGTTGTGCGCCTTTTGGCGTCATCTGGTCCAACCCATGTGAGACTAGGCTCTGAGGAAAGCTGTCTCGGGTGTGGACCAATCAACTTCAAGGACAGTGCATACATTATCAGAGTTATGTTTTTGTTTAAGTTAATACAGTACAATAGTTAATATCAGTGCACAACGCCATCTATTTTGTGTTTTACTATTGTCTCTCTGACTGTCAATCTGTCCGTGTCACTCTTCATGTATCTCTGTGTCTGGCTCTCTCCATGTCACTGTCTGTGTCTGTCTCCTCTTTGCGTGTCTGTATCTCTCCGTTGTCTCCAGGTCAGTCAGTTTGGAGACGGCTCACGTGTAGGGACCTCTCCCATAGCCAGGCCTTGTGTAGTGGTATAGCACGTCACTACACTTGTAATCTTTGCTCCCCTCTCTCCCGCTCCTGCTGTCACACTGTGCCTGCCTCCTCCAAAATGATTAAATTCCATTGCCTCTACTTGTAGATAGAGCACAGTACCATATATATATTTTAAAAGGATATTTATATAAAAAAGTGCAATCAGCAGTCAAATAAAGATATAAATACATTACCTCTTCTTTGGCCTTTTCTGTACCCAATGCATATTTATTATACTTTTCCAAGTATCGAATGGGAATGTTGAATATTTTCTCTTCGTAGTAAATGACGAGCGTGTACGGCTGGTTTGTTTTGTCCTTGGAACTTGTCCTCACCATGAACGCCCCATCCTGGATGATTCAATTGGAAAAGAAGTTGTTGTTAATCCACAGCGGGTCTTAATATATCATGTATTTGAACGGCATCGTCTTTAGCAGTATGTTCTGTTTGTTGTTAAGCCCCATGAGTTGAAACTTGAAACAGCTGCATAGCTGTACATCATTAAGTATGTCCTGGTTTGTCTATTCGGGATAATATATATACTTATGTTGAACCTCTTTTGCACCGTATATAGCCAAAATGCTTATCGAAAGTGTGAGTAAGAACAACAATCTTAACACAAAGAGCAGTTCATGGTGTAATGGCTTGTAAACTGGAGGTTGCTGGTTCAAGCTCCTGGCACGGCAGTTGAAACATTGGGCCAGTTTCTTTAATCTCCCCGCCTGTGTCCACCCCAAAATATAAATGGGCACATTTATATTTTGGGGATTAGTTGATCAGTAGGTCGCATGTGATGGGGTAAAGTGTGGGTACCCCCCATCCCTTTCAAGACATCTGGTCGGTGTGGAAGAGTAGGAATCTAAATAGATACCCTCAAGGGGGGCGGGGGGGGGGGGAGGTTTCGAGCGCTCCCTCTATTGGAGGCCCTGCCTCCAGTCGTGGTGAGAGTGAGCAAATGCAGGGCTGCACCTTTACCTTTTTTGTTTGTTAAATAATAAATACAGCGAGTGCTTGTACTTTGAAGAGGCTGGCCCCTGCCATATGAATGTGATATTGTAACGGCTGCCTCAGGACCTCTAACAGAGATGAGCACCACTCTTGCTTGAGATAGATATTTGTAAGGGTTAATAAATAATAATAACTAATCTATTTAAATAAAAAAGAGCCGTATTGTGGTTTTAGTACTCAACTTCCTGTTTGGTATGTTTTTCCAAATTATTTTAAATATATATTTTGTGTGTGTGATAAAACTACAAGAAGGATACAGAAACTGCACACGGAGCGTTCAGAAACCTACTTGACGCTGTAACACGTGCGTAGGTGTGTGTCTCACCAAAATCCATATTACATTACAACCGTGCTATTTTCCCGAGTTTGCTTCCAATTTTTCTATCTGCCATGAATATAAAAAAAATGATTCAGGAGTCTCCCAGAGCAGAGCACTGCACCACGTGTCACAGAGTGGCTGTGGAAGAGATCTTTTTTCCCAAACGACTTCTTCCAAAAAAATATACACATTTAGGAGCCCTTTTAGCCTCCGAGCAGTAGGGGGAGCATTTCCTCACACATTCTACTCCGAGATTGCCACATGTTAATTAATAATGAGAAATATATTTTATTTCATAGCTGCAATTTCGCTAAATTAAGTGTGAGATCGTGTTGAGACCGTCCAAGCAATACCCTTAAAAAAAGGACCAGCTTAATCATGGGTGACAGAAAGTCAGATCATGGGTGACAAAAAAGCCAGATTCAAACCCAGAATCTCAGTGGTGCTGGCTCAGTTGTCTGATCTCTGAGCCATGTCACCATCTTACGAATAAGTATTTGCGTTGCACGTTTACCAATATTTTAGTCATGTTAATAGTCTGTGACACTCAATTTGAATATATGCACTGATGTTTCCCTCAATTACCTTATTGTTTTTTCTCACCATGGCTTCTGCAGTCTTTCGGTCACAATTGTTTATTTCCTGTAAAAAGATAAAAGTTTGGGTAACTGCTCTGCATATATATATAATATACAATTGTGTTCATGTATTCACTCATTCAATATAAATATAACCAACAACATATGGCCATTGTTATAAGAGAGATAGACATATGCATGTATGAGCAGATTTATGATATTTAGTTTTGTTCATCTCTATGCCAATTAGGGGAATTCCTGCTGTGTTATTATTCTAGAAAACTTTGGGCCATGACATTGGTATCCAATGTACAATAACACATTCTATAATATCAACTTTACAAAGCAATACGTATCTATTTTGACATCATGTCCATCAGGGTATCATCCAATATTTATAATCATATAGCAGTTTGAGCTATGTCCATAAAACTACACACACAAACTTGACAGTATGAAAATTGTATCATATGGGTTTCGTTTAAACTCCCATAAATCTGCCGCAGCTTTTGTGACGCATGTCGCATCCAAATTCGACAGTCCTACGTGTTCACCAATACCCTGGTTACGATTGTTTCGAATGCTCGTCGTGTGCTGTTGAAGTTCACTCAAGATACATTTTTCTGACATTGACGCTTTATATCACGTGACCAAATCCATTGGCATTAGGTCTGGTAAGTTTGATGGTCATGAGAAAGGTATAACTGAAAATTATCCTTACTGGCCAATGATCAGTGTGGAGGAGCCACCATCTGATTGGTCGATGATAGTCGTACGGGATATCCTACGTGAGTTGTGGCACGGCGTGCTGTTGGAGCATATCGCGGTATGTAGCAGAACGTACGGTGTCTTATCCAGACTAAAAGAAGGCTGCACACTTGGTTGTGCATAAAACGTGCTCACACGCCGACTCGTGGGACTGACACGTTCATGTGCAATACGAACATGAGATTGTTATTTTCCCCATACAATGCAGTTTTGAGTGATAACTTCACACACTTGCATGAAAATGTCACTTTAAATGTAAAGATGGATTTCTTCAAACAATCGCTGTATTTGTCTGTTTTATTACACATCTTAATGCAGAACTCGCTGCAGCATTCCCATTCCACCCCTCAAAGTGCCTTTTCTAATTCCATACGATGAGCATAGATTGAGACATTTAAGCACAATTGTTGCTTGTGCAACGCGCCAGCTGCTTGGACACGTTCAGGAGTTGTATATGCTTCCGTATATCAGTGTGCCCCTGTTTTACCGACGTTTGGAATTCTTGTTTCACGTAGGATACGCGGTGTTCAGAAAAACATCGACGCATCGATCTTTTTACATCGGAATGGTGATGTTTTCCTTACGATTTTGCGCTTTTCCAACCATCAAAAAGTGACTGATATATTATTTTAAGGTTCTTTCGTGAAAACGGGTCCCTCTCCAAATACCATCGCCGGATGTATATACTCTAGAAAAGTTTAAAGTTTATAGTCTGCAATGTATATTTTACCACGGTTGAGTGTTGACTCTGCAAAATATTTTTTTCCACATTTTGGAAAGTACAAAAGTGAATATTGCGGTTGGGCTTCGACCCTTCAAGAACAGCCTTGTGGCACTTTATTTCTATATCCTGGAAAGTAACATGTGTTGGCGAATGCTTTTTTATGTTATTTCATTACGATAAAGTAAGTGCGTAATAAACATTGATTTCTAAATTTTCCTTTTCTCTTTCCTGTTAATAGTTACTAAAACAACAATAATATAAAAACATTCATTTTCACTCAAATAAAAAAAAAACTTTAATAAAACACATATCAAACACTCATTGAACGCTCAATGTTTTTTTTTTAAACATCAAGTGTTTGAGATGTCACTGTTTGTATTTCAATGTCCCATCCTTATATCTGACTCATCTGACACCGCGTGGTACAAAAAACCTCCAGTACCATACACTTCAAACGTAGGTTTTAAAACAGACTTAAGGAATACGTTGCACCATTTTAACGTATCAGTTGAAACTGCTGTCTAATTATAATTCTTCAGGAATGGATGATACCTTCATGGCCATGTCGATGGTAAGTATTTACAGCTGTTATTGGATAATACAAATGAACATATTCGGATAGATTTTTTGTCCGAATGAATCAGCTAGTGCAGGGCTCAGCAACCTGGGGCCCAGGAGCTGCATGCGGATATTTAAGGAATAAAGACTTCAGTCGTTCAGTCCTCCTCGCACTGTGGCTCTTTAAATACAAAGGCTTTTGTTTACAGAATTGGCAAAAAACAATGCACTTCTTGTTATTTTGGTTGCCGACCCCTGATCTAGTACAATGCGATTGTGAATGTGCACACGGCATGTCTGTTAAAGCGGTTAAGGTAATGCCACGGCATGTGATGCTGCATCTGAAGCTGCAATCACCGTGTTTAACACGGAGGCTTTCGTGGCCAATATCATCCATCATAGAGGTTTTGTTGGGTTAGATCGCGTAAATATATAAATGTGTCGTTAAAACCCACCACCACCCGACACAACCAATTAGTAAGCTTTGTTACGTAAATAGAACATGCCAATTCGTCACTAGTACAGCACACCGGTGTGTTGGAGAGCCAAACCACAACAATCTGCGTACAGATTGTAAATGTTGGGATTTGCCTCTCCAACACACCGGTGTGCTGTACTAGTGACGATTCGGCATATTCTGTTTACGTGACAACCCTTACTAGTTGACTGTGTCAGGTGGTGGTGGGTTTTAATGACACATTTATATATTTACGCGATCTAACCCAAAGCACCTCTATTATGAATCACAGTGTTGGCAGAGAGCAAATTAACTCAATGGTGGCCCAGGATAGTGTTCTATCTCTACACACAGACTCCTCCTTGCAGCTATTGCTGCTAATGTCTGGTGTGTCAATGCCCTCTCAAATTACAACGTCATTTAGATGTCATAAAATTAGTATAATCAGGCTGATTATGCCATATGCTGCTGTACAGATTAGAGTATTATTGGATTCTTGGGAGTTGCCGATTCATGCTGTGTGCACATGCATTGTTTTGGTGACTAATGAGCGATGCTCACAGTGTGTGGAAGAAATGCATGGCGAGAAAATCCACCATCATCGTAAACAGCAAAAGATAAATCCACTGCTGGTTTAAAACCTCCCCACATTGTTGCCATTCCTCATGGTCTGGTCTTATAATGCCTAAATCGATCTCGTGCCTGGAAATGAGATCATCTCCTTATCTCTGTGGTGGTTATCATCCTTTGAGGTGTCTTCTCTCTTTTGACTACCATTGTCACCAGTCTCATCCACCGGACATTATTCGTGCCCTTCTAGCGATGTCATGTTTGCCGAACCTGCACTGGACCATCAATGCTGAAGCATGGTCAAGCAGCCCTCTCTCGTAGACGTTAAGAAAGTCCTTAGGTTATTGTTCAAATAAATCATTAGCAGCCCTTTGTCAATATGCTGCTGGATAGTGCCCTCCCCCCCACCATTTTATCACACCACTGATGTTCCGCCTTCGTTGGGAATCTAATTAGATCGCTGGGTTCTCAGTGCCATTGCGCCACCCCAAGTTACAAAACTTAAAATAAGCTGTTTCCTTGTGTAAAAAAAAAAAATCAACACTTTTGTAAGAAAAAAAACACCATGCTTATTTTAGGATAATCACACAGTGATCATGCACCGAGTGATATTTGGTGTTGGGAGAGTAAATTATAAGATGCTCGACAAACTAATTTGTGAAAATGAGATAAAAAAATGAACTGGTTTCTATTGTAGAAATTGGTATTGACCTTAAGTGATCTTAAGTAAAAACAATAAAAGTGAGCTTCAGCAGCACACATTACTACGTAAGGTGATGGCCAATGGAATGAAAGCGAAGGGATGGAACGCATCCAAGAGCACGTCCTCATAGAAGATGGAGTAATGAAATTATCGTGTCGGATCGTGAGCGCTATTAGAAAGCTACTGGAGCTATGCACTTTTAAATCTAGATTGAAAACTAATTTCTTTAGAAATCCTTTTCTTGTTTAGTTTGTTGTCCTTCCCCTGCAGAAACGATTATTACGGTCAGCTACGTACGGTGCAAAATAAATTCAACGTCCACGCATACATACGTACAGATGGCGACGGCTTGGTGAGGCCTGAATTCAAGAGTGGATTGATTGTGGCTGTTGATGATACCGGTGAAGTGAAACAATCCCAGCGTGAAGTGCCCTGCGAGTGGTGTAATCTGTACTGACGGGTGGTATGGAGCACGGAGATGGAGAGAGGCCTCCAACTGCTGTTCCTCCTCCACGGCTTGAGAATGAGGAGCTGTGTCCCAAACTTTGTTTGGTGCTGGTGTCACCTGTTTCAGGACACATTGTGGCATCAATCAATGAAAGAGAGGCAGTAAGAATATTTGGAAGCACTGACCCAACATTACCAAACAGTGAGAGTAGGAGATGGATAGCAACTCTATGTATTTTACCAAAGAACACATTCATCTTATGATTATTATCATTATTAGTGCTGTATTTTTTACTTGAATTGTTTTTACATGTTAAAATAACGTATTTTTACGTTGTATTTCCTTACGTAAGCTCTTGTGTAATGAACATCAGAACAGCTCGTTTGACATTTCTATAATCTAGCATTACAAAGTCCTTAAAGTTCAAAAATATAAATGTTTGTTTTTCTGTAATTTGCAGTGGTGGTGTTGACAGTGCAAAAATTCCGACATGTTATTCAGGGAAATGAGCAGCAGTATTTGAAATGAAACATGTACTCACCTGCAAACATTCTTTGGTCTTCCTCTGATCTCTGAAAAGAATAAAAATGGGGATTAGAAACGGACTTGATTTAACATTGCTGCGGGCTTTACACGCCCTGCCGATGTCAACTTAGCTTACTTTCCAGAAACATCGAGACCTTTTATTTTGTGCCTGCTAATATGTGTCTGGGGTGGAGCTGGTTGGTGCAGCTGTAAACCAACTAAAAAACACAGTCAACAAGTGTCATCCTGTGAAGCTCATTTTGACATGGGCAAGAATGTAGTCTAGAAATTGAGAATAAGAACCACGAGCAGCTGTGTCAGTGACAGTGAACGTCTCCAATTTTTTTTCGTGGTCGGCAAAGTTTTTCAGCATCTACAAAAATAATCGGAGCAGTGCTGCTGTTTCGGAAAAATTCAAAACGTTATTCAGCGTCTGTACCAGACCATTTCATGTTTTTTTTTTCATGGACAACATTCATGACCCAATTAAGGCTCATAATTTTCCATGAAGAAGAGTTTGAATGCATGCATGTATATTTAACTTCTTTCGCACCGTACGTAGCCAACCGTGCCAATGGGAGGTGCTTGTAGAGTTTCGAGACTAGGAGAGGCTATAATGTAAATATATATATGCCACATTTTGATACTAAAACTTGAGAATACTTCACACAGGGAAGTATTGGCATTGTTTGATGCTCAAAGTTGATGTTGTTATCAATGATCCTACTGAAAGACCAAACGCAGAATATCCCTGGTTTTGATTTTCCACGAAAATTACGGTTCACCCTAAATCACATCCACTGCACAAACCATGGCAGATGCGAACACCAAATGGAAAATTAAAAACTCTCCAGTAATGTGCGACTGTGGTCATCCAGAACAGACCATACAACGTATAACGACGCAATGCCCGATCCGCAAATACGAAAGAGACATCATAGCAATTACATTCCGCTACTCCTGACGCGGATATCTGGCTTGACCACCTGAATATGAAATTGTAGTCATTGCTCTGCATCTACATCAGCCATACGAAAGAAGAGGAATCCTACTGAAGGAGGTGTATTGCGATGGTTGCTATTCATCACCTTGATGGAGCCAGGGGACACGTGTGGTTTGTGGCCTGCCTGGTTCCCTGAAAGCAGACTCGGTTTCCTTGAAGACTGGGGCAATAATGGGGACCTGCAAATAAAAAAAACTATTAGGAAGCTGCCACATGTGAAGCTTAAAATACCACCTTACAGACACGCCCGTCACTGATACGGGTATGGGGGTTTTGCAGTATTACAGTGCTGTGGTGAATGAAAGGGAAGTGGTTTGTGTCTATCCTCTAACAGAGCTGGGTCTGTACATCCCAGTGACATGGTAATTGATAAGAGTGGTATGATTCGACTCTTCCAGTGATTCGATAACATTGTCACGATTCAAGGATTTGAACATTTTGGCCAATGCATGTTTCTTTAGCTTAAAATTAAATATTAAACAATGAATATGATGCATCGTTCCACGCCTTGTAACCTTTTTTACTTTTTACATTTTTAGTCAGCAATGTAAAGTTGATAGTTTATTGCTAAATGAAACCATTACAAGGAATTGGTGACTTCGGAGTTGCATATCTCCGTCACCTCCTTTGTATAATATATTTATTTGCGTTCATTCTAGTTGTATTCTTTGGGTCTTTCGGTAAAGCCACGTAGATAGAAAATAATAATAATAATAATAAATAATAATAAACTATGAATTCCTGCAGTCACGAAAGCTTTAAGTCAAGATTCTAGTTGTACTTTTGACATCATGTCATGCTCTGAAAATATGCCCATTTGGGACTCTCACAGCAGTGACTTGTCCTGTGTTTCAGAATAGCCTTAAAATGTTGCGATCGCACAGAACTACTTTGTGTTCATCACGTGATTTTCAGTGATCTCTTTTCCACATTAGAGGCGATGCTATTTCCCCATGTGCGGTCACATTCTTGTAGCTGGAATTTTTCCAAATTACGTGAAGCGCCAAATTCAATAAAATTATGTATTTGTGCTTTCACTGGCGACCAAGACTGCGGCCACTTGAGTATCCAGTTAAGCCATGGCCCAAGTTCTACAGTCCTCTATATAATATATTTTGATATTTTCAGCCAATTAAGTTGTGTTTAATCATGTGGGAGGAAACCAGAGCACCAAGCGAAAACCCACACATGCGAGGGGGCAATATGCTATCCCATTCTGAAGGGACAGACGATATTAGTCCATACTTTGCTGTACCGTCTTCTGCTGGTAAGCCATGGTATGGAAACCTCGATACCCACGGGAAGGGAGTTTCACAACATTTGTGCGCTCCACCAAACCCTCGCCTCCACAGTGCTGGGTTACAGGCATGCGAGCCACCTCCGCCCGGCTACCTAGGTGTCATTCGAACACGGACACCGAATCTCAGTGGCCTTTTACTGAGGTGGATGTCGGATGCTAGGCACATTGTGTGGGCAAAGGTGGAACCAACCTGGGCATTGCGCTAATCTCGGATAGGATCTCCTTGTTCATGATGAGAGAACGGCCGGCAGCGTTTGGTTTAGACACTCTGTCCACAGGTGGGGGCCCGAGGGGGGCAGGCCTGGATGGTGGGGGTGGGGTTGGGTGTGGATACCTTGCCCCCAAGACAGGGGACGAGGAGCAGACCATGAGTGAGCTTTATAGTACGGTACTCGTAGAGACAATGATCACGTATTGATGTTGCGCCTCGTTACAAGTATATGAGACAAGTCGCGAAGCGCCAAAGGAATTAAAAAGCACACTTGACTAAAGCACTGTGCGTAGGAAGTGGCACATATGAACTCGGTTCACAAAAGGGTTACCAAAACAACAAATAACGCTGTATAGACTGGGGTGTATACGAAACGAACACAAAAAACAACTCATGTATAGTGACGCCATTGTATGCTGTGATGGTAATTCCACATTCCCATAGCAGGCACCAGTCTAACCACAGGACAATCACTGTTTATGTCCCGCAAAATTGTACCTATTTTATTGACAATGGAGGAATTATCGGCCGAGTAGACCTATTTGAATCACATTACTTAAATGTCATGTTTACCCATACTTTACTAATAATTGTTTCCAATAATTTGTCATGTTTCAGTGTTGTGTTATATGTTTGTATACAAATAACAAGTGTGACCAATATTATACTTAGTCCCTTGTTCTCAAAATGTTTTCCAGCCACGGTCAGAATAAACTTTTCTCGAATTCGTACTCTTACAACTTTGGTGTGTACAATTGTTTGGACTGCAAACATGATGGGTTTAGTGTAGACATTGCATAGATTGATGATCATTCAACTAAGCTGGAATGTCAAGATAAAGGTCACGAAGTCATCACAATTAATGCTGCTGATATCCTCATTACTATCTTTCTTCTCTTGGACTTCGTAGCCGTTGCAAAGTTGACATTCCCTCCAAGGTCTGGACTTCCAGTATCTCACCTGGGCTTTAGGTCACAGGGTGCCACTCCAATACCTGTCCGAATGACCTGCCCATCTCCACTGTGCACACGCGTCCCACTCATCGCAACCTGTTCCTCCTGGTTAAACGTATAATGCTTTCCTGGTGCCTTCTATTCAGAACTCTCTTGCATCCATTAGGTGCACCTCCATCCAAAGGTCAGCAGCTTCTTCAAACTTTTTTTGTACTTTACCAGGTAAGACCCACTGAGCTATGTAGCTCTTTTTCAGAAGCGACTTGGCCACAAATGATAGCTCAACGAAGTGGCTTATCACGTGGAAATTTATAGCAGCTAAATACTCTAAACGCGTGTTTCTAAATGTGGAGGTAAAAACCAGAGGACCCAGAGAAAATGCACAACACCACGGGGAGAACATGAAAACTCCGAATATCCAGGCAGTCAGGGTCGGGATCGGAACCCACGAGCTCCTGGATACCAGGCGAGGTAGTTAACATGTCTGCCTCGCTACCCAATGTGTTTTTGGCATGTACCGCGTGTCATTCAACACAGTGACTGAACAGCACGCGGTACAACCCGACAAACACAACTGTGAACACCACGGCAGCCGTATTCTTTTCTACTTGCTTTCCACAGCTACGCACGTCCAAATAATATGGCAGCTTACCTTCCCCTACCACTTACCTGTTCATGTGATCGTTGATCTTTTGTGGAATCTCCTTCTGCTGTAAAAATAAGAAGTGATGTATTTATAAGCAAAAGGAACATTTTATGGCCTTTAAAATATTAACATCTAGCCAATGCAATGTACCTCTCTAACATGGGCCATTTTATGCATCATTATAAACATTGTGATTTGTGATTTAAAGCTTTCGTGATTGCAGGGATTCATATTCTTGGTTTTTTCGGTAAAGTCACGTGCCTTTATCGAAAGAACCAATAATATATTGTGATTTGTGATTCACGTATTATGTTTTTATATCTTGTAACAGGCAAATATGTCTGTAAAAGATATACCCTCTGATTGTTTGCATCACGACGAACATTCTCATGTATTAATACATATTCTTATACCATTAAAAGGAAATTTCTACAGAAAGGTGGACGAGGTACTTTTTAAATGTGTTGCCTACCTCTTCTTCATTGGGGATCTCATAATCATCATTGTCTGTAAGAAAAACACGGATTATTGTAATCCTGCTGTGTGAAACCTTTTGCTTCTCTCATTTGATCATTGGCTCTACTTGCAAAGCAAACATTAGCTCACCCTCAATAGAAAAACTAGGGTTGCCACCTGCCCTGGTTTCCCCAATGTTGACCTTTTTTGAGGTATTGTACTCCGAAATGTGTAAATAAATGATCAGTTGCATAATACTGCAATTACACTACTCAAGACAATGCATTCAAATGCAGTTATACTCCCTCCCTCTATATATTGTGAGATATTATTTTTCTCATAACACGGCTGCACTTTTTGTACATCGATCGGAGGTGGCAACTCCACGAAGAACCCAGATGTAACAATGGAAACGCACCTGACTCTGAGTCCCTGCAGGCGCCCTCTTGGTGAGACGTGTGCTGGGGCCGCGGCGGGAACACTGGCTGCGCGAAACCCTCGTGTGAGACCTTACGCTGCTGGCTCCTGTGGCCAGTCTGGACGGGTGGTGGCGCATGCATGGTGGCATGCGCTGTGGTCGGGTAACCCTTCGGTTTGAGCGGTTTCTCAGGGATGGGTAACGAAAAGCCCCCGTGGCCATTGTTAACCTTGCGTCCGAAGGGAGGGGGAGGGCCACTCCCGCCTGGGATGGCTTGCGACGGTGGAGCGTCTGCGTTGAAGCTTGGCTTTGGGGGGCACTTGGGAGCGCCCCCCAGGTGGGTAGCTGTCATGTGTGGTGCAGAGATCATGTTGGGAGTTGGTTTGGGTCGAGGGACGGTTGCTGGAATGTTCGCGTTGAGGTGCAGAGGATGGGCTCTGGCGGAAGAGAGTTTTGGATGAGTCGGGGAGCTCACTTTGAAGCTATTGGGCAAAGTTTGATTGAGATTCGTTGCGATGCTGCTGTTGTGTTGGATAGATTTTTCCAAGGAACGGGTCTTGAGGAAAGCCTGCGAGTTGTCTGAACCAGGTTTGGGTGTGGAAGGGAGGAACGGCTTGTGGAGGGAAGGCAGCCGATCAGGTACAGGCTTGGGTGGCAGCGAATATGGATATAGGGTTGTGGGCTTTTCGTGTGGCTTGGGTCTGGTTCCTGGCCTCATTGACAGTGAAGGCTCGCCTTTGAGAAAACCTGGAGAAGAGTCTTTATGTTAGTGGTTGAACTCATGGTCACTTGGAAGAACTGGAACATATAACATTCAACGAAAATAATTATTTTTTGAAAGCAAGGCACACCATTAAAACATAATAGAATTTGTTATATCACAGTAAGTGCCCTAATGTTATACATGTTGTGTATAATATTCATTAGAATAAAGTGAAGGTGCTCCCTACCATCTCTTCCAAGACGTTTAGCCAGCGTGGAAGAGGAGGCCAAAACACCCTCTTAGAGGGGCTCTTTAAGTGTACACTTCTTCACCTCCAACATCAAAAACTGGCACAACCTTGGAGTCATCATTGAGCCACAGATCTCATTCCCCTCGCACATCTCTCGATCCTATAGCACACCCTAACTCCACCTGTGCAACATCTCCCACTTCCACCATATCATTTCACCATCTGCCGCCGAGACCCTCACCCATGTATTGTATCCCTTCTCGCCTTTACTGCAACTCCGTCCTCCCCACATCCCTCACCTCCAAACTAAGCGAAACCCACATCACTCCAGTCCTCGGATCCTCCCACTTGCGTCCAATCCGGTCTCAAGTAAACTACGAGATCACCCTCACCATCTTTGAGATAATCTGTTAACTTTTCCCCTGCCGACCTCGTTCGCTCTCATCTTCCTTTACTCCCACTTCGTGCGGTCTGCACTGCACCAGCAACCAAGGCCTTCCGGCAAAACCGTTAACCAACTTGCACTCATATTCTTGGTTCTTTCAGTAAAGTCACGTAGAAGGGAAACAATAAAATAATAAAAATATGAAACAATACAATTCTCACGACGTTTACCTTCTACGTGACTTTACCGAAAGAACCAAGAATATGAATCCCTGCAGTCACGAAAGCTTTAAATCAAAATTCAACTTGCACTCGTTGGGAGGTCACTCTGGAATGCCCTGCCCATGGTGGTCGTCCGTGCTGTTGACTTCCTGCCCCCTGTACAAGTCAGGGGTCAAGACTTTCCTCTTCTGCTCTGAAAATGACTGACTGTTCCCCATGTATGAAGTGATTCCAGTTGCATCTTACTTCACAAGTATAAATGCCTTCCTTCATCTCCGTGATGTGCATTGGCCCGCCTGTTATTCCCAGATACTCTCCCATCCAAGTTCTAACCGGACTCAATACTGCTTAGCTTCTGAGATCCAATGAGACTCGGTACTACTATTCATGGTTAGATGGTTGCATGAACTGTATATGTGTATATTTTTGCAAATTGAGAGTAAAAGTCAAACTTACAACTTTCGTTTGGCACATTCTCAACGGGAACTACGTAGTCCTCCTGCAACACATGTCAAAATTAATTGTCAATGCAAAGTTAATCTGACAGCATATATAATCTTAATGTGCGACTCCATTTATTACATGTGTGAGTCAAGTTTCAAATGACTTAACTTCTTCAGGGCAGGAATATGCACAGCGATTATAACAAAATGGGGCTTTGCTGTGAAAGTGTGAATTTTGTATAAAAATGTTAACCTCATTGTTGGACATTGTTTTGAGATTTTATAATTCTGGTTCTATTCTACGTTGTTTTCCAAATAAGTGAATGTGGATCGCTATGCAGTTAAATAATGTGATAATGTTTAATCGACAAGTATTTGTTTACCAACGTATAAAACGCTAAAGATGGAAAATATACTCTGAACAGAAGTCTCAGATAACGAGTCGGAAAATGGACAAGGATAAATATAACTCTAAAAATGAAAGTGGCCAGCAGAAATGTACATTACAGCGGAGCTTTGACAAAATGCATCGCTTTGCAAATGCTTGCGTGGGTCACGTACGCAGTTAACCCCGCGACGGACTTTCGGGGCAAGTTACAATCGGCATTGGCAAATGGAACATTGACCTTTTGTATAATAATGGAATAGCCTAAATATTAATATTAATTGCTTGTCCAAGCTCGAAGGCCATAGTCTAATTAATTGATCTATTGCAAGATATGTGGAATGATTAGACAGATTAGTGCATTTGACTTTTTGCAACACCACAATTAATTTAATACGTAGGATTATGCAGCCAATAGAATGATTCATGATTCATTTTCAGGCCAAAGCGAAATATCTATTATGAATCAGAATGGTTTAAACAATTCAGGTTAAATTAAATTAAATATGTACCCGTCTTACATGAATCTTGGATTGGTTGATAAATATTCCACCATACATTGGAAGAGTTTCACGAATATTAAGACATAGATACACAATGATCCCCCATATAACCTGAACAGACTGTTGGGGCAAGTTCTGTTAGAGAGCACCTATGAAGGCCGGCACAGCGCACAAGGGGGTGGGTGGTCAGCACCACGCCTGGCCACCTCTGTCTCCCTCGTGGCAATGTTTGTACACCGCACCAGTTCCCTACCCACTACACTCCCACGTATAAACACATACACTGTAGTTTTGTACAACACTGTATCAAAAAATACACAATGTAAATGCGTTCTGCTTTCTTAATATAAAAGAATACAGGGAAGAGCATTCAGTATCGTGCAGCCACTCTTTATAGTTGAACGAGCTTTACTACCCGGCTTCGCCCGGGACTTGGATTCACCACGCATCGGTCGCCTTTGTCTCCCCAGTGGCGATGTTCACAAACCACACCACTTACTCGTTTGAGGCTAAGTCGACCTAGGGGAGGGCCCAGGACCGGTTAAAATAATCGTCACCGGTGGTGGCCGTGAGCGGGAATCGAACTCAGGTCGCTGGGTTCGTAGCGCAGCGCGCTACCCGCTACACTACAATGCGTTACGCTTCCACGTGCGTGGGTCACGTGACAGATTTGACGTCACAGCTCACTTGCCGTGCAAAAAATATATGTATTATTGAGCTCCCCCCCACCCCCCCCCAAAAAAAATCAAAAGTGTAATTTTATAATTTTTGCATGGTGTACAGTCTGGAAAGTACCCCCACATGGCAAATTTTCAGTATGTTGCATGTCGGGAAGTACGCTAAACATTTTGAACAGACACACATTCACAACTTTTCCATTTAAATATATGGGCATGAACAAAAACAGCAGCTGCCACTGTGGTTGAAATCTTAGCCTGATGATAGATTACGCACATGTTTGCTATGTCCATCATAATTGGAGATTAGAGACATACTTTCAATCACTATTACGAAGTCAAATGAGCTGTGTACAGACCGGTGCTGTGGTTAAACAACAACTAAGAAAAATGTGAGCACCTAACCTCTGCAAGTTTTGTTTGTTTCATTTGCATCCTTACTTGATCTTCCCCGTCATTGCTACGACGTTCCAAGGAGGCGCTTTTGCTGCTATTAATCGATATGGAGTCTTTATCTGGGGAAACAGACGCCACACACACACACACATGCAGTTATTAATTTTATGCAGCTTTGATGTGCTTTGCTTCAGTTACCATACAAATAACGTTTCTAATCATCTCTGTTTATCCCGTAGACCTTTAATGAGCCTGAAGATGGATTTTGAGGCGGGTTCACCTTGGGGATTTTCTCAAGTCTGTTACATTTTTATTGCTGTTTTACCCCGTTTCTATCCTTGTAGAACGTATCATATGAGCTTACTTGTGGTGCATTTAAGCGCAATCTAAAATATAAATGCAAATCGCAATTAAATCTAAAACATAATCATTATTTTATTGTTTTATTTTTATTATTTTATTATTTCCCTTCTACGTGACTTCACCGAAAGAACCAAGAAGATGAATCCCTGCAGTCACGAAAGCTTTAAATCGAAATTTAAATCTAAACCCTTGTCGAAATCGCCACCTTCGAGGTGCAAATCACGACAACTCAATTTTTGTCATCCTGGATGGCATCTTGTACAGCGCATTTGCCCATTTATTGTTCGTCGTGAATTCTGTTAAAAGTAATAAAGCCCATTATGAGTTCAACACGGGTGCACTACACATTCCTGGCTCCGGCCGAAGAAAATGCATGGGGCTAGGCTATACAGCTTTAAATTAAACATTGTCACCGAGATATTGTCCACTTTCTGCGGTAGTTATCCGGCCACTTTGCTGCTATTTGAAGAAGTTGAGTGTTTACTGTCTGTGTTTGCGTGCAATAACACTATCGCGCTTGCATGCTATCTGGCACCAACATGCAGTATACGCATAGATTGGTTCATACTTTCATCAATTCCTTGCAAATTGCTTATTGACATCCACTTAGATTAGAAGTATAATTTTAAGCGTGTGTTACCTTGCAATATTGTTTGGATTGCATTGCTGCGTCTGTTGTGCAGCAGAGGGCAGTGGCTATCAGCGGATAGTCTGCATTGTTCAGCACTCTAGTGGGAGCATTTTTGTGTAAACATCTGTACCGCACAAGCAATACAGAAGAACTGCATCATAATTAATCTTGTCAACTTGATTTATACACACTGAGGTGCCTTTCCCCTTAGCGATGCAATGCAGTACAATTCCATTGTTAAGTAAAATGTTAAACTCGTCACAAATTTCAAAGTGGTGCACATAGCTTTGGCACACATGACATGATACGTGACAGTGCCGTTTAAATTAAAATCGCATCTCGGGGAAACCTTACTGCAGTGGGAAACAATTTTAGAGACATAGAAAGCGTGTGCAGGACATGAATCTATTCATGAATTAACCCAACCATTCACATTCAGAAAAATATATTAATTAATTAAGAATTTATCAAGACAATATGATATGTACACAAACAGTTAAATGTCTCCACGAGGCATGTCACTACAGCACAGGCAGAAATATGCATTTAGGGAGTAGCCTTCCATACCATCATGTATCCTCTTTGCTTACTGCTATGGTTGTTACATGTGCTCAGATACGCACTAAATAAGAATGAAGGCTATTAAGCTGGAGTCTGGGACTGACAAATCCCCATTAACTTCCCTTGACACTGCCGCTTGTAAAATACCGAAAGTCAATTCATGAAAATCTGCTCACGTCGTTTAAGTTTGACTCAAGGCTCAGAAAGCAGTTTGAATACATAATGTATGTGCGATATATATTTATAATTTAGCACGTCCTGATTTATGACTCCTTGCACACAACTGCTTTTAATAAAGTGTTGTTGGTATTAGTTACCGGGTGATTTATGGATTTCTTGATGATTTCTTAATGACTGCATCAGTCTAATGGCTTTGTATAGTTCTTGCTTCGTTTCTATGAACATGTGTGTGGTGTGCTGTGTGTGCACTGTGTGTTTGGTGTCTTATGGAAGTTTAGCTTACGTGCATTACTGAGATGTTAGTCTACAATCGTGGTACGACATGCCTGCAATCCAGTGCTCTGGGGAAAGGATTGATGGATTGTGTTACATTTTTGCACGGTTGACTACGTACGGTGTGAAAGAAGTTCCACATAAATACACTTGTTATACAGTACAATACTCCTATAGAAGGGTTGAGGGACATGTTTCTTCCTGATGGCCTTATAGGACTTTCAAATACTGTACCTTTAGGGTGTAATCACACCTTACTTTAGTTAACACTAAACTTTGATCAGGCTCGCATTGAATTTGCATTGACGTAACTCTGAACTGCTTGAAAAACAACTGGTGACCGGTTATGATATGATCACAGTAATAACAAAGATTTGTTGCCATGTCAAAAATATTGGCCATTTTGTACCCAAATAGTGTGGCTCATATGCTTTCAGTTATGTTGAACATCTAGAACTAAACTGAAGATGTTATTGCATTTTACTAGGTAAGGCCCACTGAGCTATCTAACTCTTGTTCAGAAACGACTTGGCCAAAAAATGATAGCTCAACGAAGTGGCTTATCATGTGGAAATTTATAGCAGCCAAATGGTCTAAATATCGTTTGCGGGCCATTTATAAGTGGATGTCCTCACATGACCATGGGATGTAAGTTGCTCATATATCTTTATCTAAACCATTGGGCTGCAACGTGGCCATGAGATAGCAGCACTGCAAGTGAGTGTGAACCCATCTGTGCGTAGGTTTTTTATGCATGTGTAGTGTAATAGCGCCGGCTGGTGGGCAGTGGCGGCAACTCTGGTGGACAGACAGTGCACACGCCGGTAAGCGGGTGCACGGTGTGTTGGCAGAGAAAATGAACTAAGGCAAGGGTCATGGAGGACCCCATCTGGAGGTCCCTGGAACCTGCTAGTGGGTTCGAGAAGGGAGGCGCGGTCAGGGCGGAGCCAGGCCGCGCTGGTAGGATAAAAGGAGCCGAGAGCAGGAGCTCGAGGCTGCCGGTTCTGGGAGTGGACTCTTCTTGTCGTTGCTGTCGTCTCGTTGCCGTGGTCGCTGCCGTCTTCACTAGATATTCTGCTGCTAGAAGTCGTTGGCTATCTCAGTCGGCGCCGTCAGTGTTTGACGGTTAGTGTTGTGTACAGGCTTGGCTAAGAAACTGTGGAGAGTGTGAGGACGAGACGGTGGAAGTTGTTTAATAAAGAAGGTGCCTCCTACAAATCTTGCCTCCATCTCACTGATACTACACATGTAGTAGTTTGCTTCTAGGTGCAGAACACTCGTAAAAACGGAACTGGAAAAACATCCAAATTCAGAATCCTTATGAATAATATCAAGATTATGTGAGTCATTTGTGGACAGATACATTCCATTAAATTGCTTTACAGTATATTTCGGAGTGCTTTATTCCAAAAAGCTTACCATATCTTTAAGATCTATAGTTGTTTTCTTTGTTATGAAATACTGTGATTCAACTTTTTAATACAGTAGTAGGTCTCTCCTCTAATAATTCACTATGTAACACGAATTTTGTTCCTGGGTAGTAAGTGTTATTTTGTAATTGCTTATGCCTCAAAAGTACAGCAAATGGCTATTATTCCACACAAGCTTTGCTTTTGTGACCAGGACACAAAAGCAATCTACTTTTGAGGTATAAGCAATTAGAAAATAACACTACCCAGGAACAAATAAATGTTTTTTGTTACACAGTATATAATTGCATGTGTTGTCTCAGCGAGGTCTCATTTTGGTTAAATCAGGGACTGAAAATGCTGCACATATATCATCCAGCTGGGTAGCAATGCTAGGCTTACATTTTGAAGATTGCGTGTTAAAATTCTGGTTGGGTATTGACTCGGCCCATCATTCATTTAGGATCGATAAAATGAGTACCATGTTGCAGAGAGCTAACAGTTTGTCAACGTATACACAAACAACCCCCCACCACAGCAATGTGGAAATTCCACAACTGGCTTACGGTCACAGCCCTGATGTTATTTTTGAGCAGAGAGACATTTAAACTTGTTTTTTATTTCGATACTGCACGCACAACCGTTGATGATTAAGCACCACCATGTTACACTCTTTGGAAGAAAACAAATCAAAACTTTATCGAGCTTTGTTTTATACGGGACGTCCAAAGCTGTACGTTGAGGCATGCAAACCTCTTTAGCCTTTGCGTTAATCTTGTGAGCTAAAGCTCATCGTTGATAATTATGGCGTGGTGCTACGAAGTTGCCGTTACCGATGTAGTCTTTGTCATCGTCGTCGCCGCCGCCACCGATGGATGTTGCCATGATGGGGGGATACTTCTGTTTCTCGCACGGGGTCTGCTCGTAGTCATCCTCCAGCTTCGACGGATCGTCGTAATCGGGTCCTTCCACATCGGGCTCCTCGTAGCTGTCATCCTCGCTGCTTGGCTGCGAGGGCTCCGGACAAAGAGACACTCGTGTAGCCTGAGCAGACTGTTGGGGACACAGTGCTGTTAGCGAGTGGCACCTTCAAAGACCGGCAATGTGGCACACGAGGGGGTGGGTGGCCAACACCACTCCCGGCGGCCTTTGTCTCCCCAGTGGCGATGTTTACTATACACCACACCCAGGTACTCATTTGAGGTGGAGTTGACCTCGGGGAAGGCACAGGACCGGTTCAAATAATCATCACTGGCGTTTGACCGTTGAGTGGAAATCAAACCCAGCACGCTAACCGCTACACTACCGCTCACACACACACACTACGCCAGGAGAATCACGCCCCTGGGCAATGGTGATGCTAACACAAAATTGAGCAGTTTCGTATTGTCGTCATTTTCGATCAAAACATGGCTCCTTGAAAAATGTTGAACCGTGAATTGCTTAAAGACAGTGATTAAAAAACAATGGTGCCATTAGATTCTGATATTTATTTACCCATCATCAGCCATGATCAATCCACTACTGGATGAAAGCATCCTTAATCTGTCATCTCTCACAATCCTGCGGTTTAATTATGTAATTCACCTAGCACCTGCACACGACCCGATGTCATCGCTCCATCTCCTTAGCAGATATATTCTTGGACTTGTTCCATTCTTGGGTTGCCACTCCCCTTTGCTATGATTGACTGTCGGCCTCATGATGCGACCTGTCCAAATCCACTTTCTGTACTTTTTTTTAACAGTTTGAATAATGTCACTTACATGCCTACGTTCTCTCACCAATGTCTTCCTCTTCGTGTCTCTCGTAAATTCCAAGCATGGATCTCTCCATGGCTCTTTTGTGCACTTTTTCGTTTTTACTCTGTATTTTATGTTAACGATCAAGTTTCGGAACCACACATCATATCAGGTGGTGATTAAAAACGTTCTTTTGTAAGCACATTGCTATGTTAATTTTCATTACTAAGTTCACCTTTCCAAAGGCACTGCGACCCGCGCTCCTTTTTATTTATCATTACAATACTGTTTTATGTTTTAATTAATAAAAAAAAATTTATCCTAGATTTTAAATGTCAGCTGTTCCTGTGGAATGGAATTTTTCGTAAAATTGTATGAATTTTGTCAGATGGCATTTTGAACTGTGATATTACTTATGGCATAGCTTAAAAATATAAATCTTGACTTAAAGCTTTCGTGACTGCAGAAATTCATATTCTTTGGGTCTTTTGGTAAAGTCACGTAGATAGGTTCAAAGAAAATAACAAAAATAACCAAAAACTACGACGTTTCGATCGCAACGCAAGCGATGGTCATCATCAGCCTGATTACGACCGCTTGAGTTGCGATCGAAACGTCGTAGTTTTTTGTTATTTTCTTTGAACCTATCTACGTGACTTTACCGAAAGACCCAAAGAATACTTACAAATATAATATTTTTTTTACCAAGTAAGGCCCACTGGGCTATATGGCTGTCTTTCAGAAGTGACCTGGCCAAAAAGGATAGCTCAACTTAGTGGCTTATGTGGATTTGTTTTATTGCAGCCAAATATGCATGTTTATAAATGCGGAGGGAAAAACCAGAGGACCTGCAGAAAATTCCACGCGACCACGGGGAGAGCATGAAAAACTCCACATATACAGGCGTCAGGGTCGGGGTCAAACCCACATCCTGCAAACCAAGCTACCTTCAAAGCTACTTGCTAAAAGCACTTGCCCCAACAGTCTGTTAGGCTATACGGGGATCTTTGTATTTGTGTATGCGAGTGCCTGTCTTTGAGTGTCTTTGTGGAGAGTATGGCACAATGGTTATACCGTGCTGTGAAACCAGTGACCTAAGTTTGATTCCCGTTCATGGATAATATGTGAAGATTCATGTTTGATCCCGGTCCAAAGTCAGTCCATGCAAGATATGTTATCAACTGTTAGTGTCTTTAAATATGTGTGGGCCTCCCCAAGGTCAACTCAGCTTTAATAGAGTACCTGGTGCAGTGGATAAACATCAGCACTAGGGAGACAATGGTTTGGTGTGAGTCACACCACCCTATCATGCACGATTTCGGGCCAAGTAGTTCCTCGTTAACAGCACTTCCCCCAATACTCTGTTAGAGATTATATGTGGGTTCTTATTGTGTATGTGGGTGCGTCGAGTACACATTTGAACATTTAGTAAAAGGTTGTAGTCACCGGAGGTATATTTGGGTCTGCGTCAGGTTCTTCATAGTCATCATCTTCATCATCTTCAGTGTCCTGCAATGCGGGATATGAATGATTAATCTGAGATTTGAGCACCATAAAAACGACGCACAGTGCCTGGCCTGCTTAGAACCACGTTTCATTTACGAGATGGTAGCCCGCAGGTCAAACAGCAGAGATAAGGATTTGCACATTTTTTAATGCGTTTTTTTAAAATGTGCAATCTGTAAAATGCTGCCTGTGGCTCAATACCGCACATGTTTCATAACTGAAAGGGCAGAATCATATCCTAACGCATGCCATTTTCGGTTGTTGTTTAAACATTCCCAAGTGTCAAAATATACCACGTATTGTCACGAGGGTGTTTGTACACAGATGCGTATACTGTAGTCATGATGTCTAAGCATTGAGAATTATTTTATACCAGTACTGCCCGCGCACTTATATAACTTAGATGGAAATGCCAGCGATGTGGATTTCGTATGGTTAGTAACCTGAAGAACTACCAAAAAACTACCTACCCAGTTACATTGCATGAACCCCTTGCAATTTCTTTTAATTATTAGTGTCTACATGTATACGTGTATGCTTTGAAAGTATTTTTACAAAACTTCTGGATAGACAATATTGGAGGTAAATACTGATTGATGACCATTGATCTTCCTTTGACACGTCCGTTATTGCAACCAAATGCATTTCACAACGGCATATCACATTTGGAAGTTGCTATTTGTTTCCGAATGACATTCGTTGGCCTAATTGCAAGTAGAACTACCAGCCATCAATCATTGTGCCCAGGTTGTGCAATGCAGGCACATTCAATTGACATAATCATTTACAAATGGCGGCCGATCGGATGTTGCGAGGTGTTTTGTCGGAATTTTGGGTTCCAAATGTTGGAAATTCACAAATCTAACAATTTTGTGGGAATGTCATAATCCATCTTTTGTAAGGAAAAGGTAAAGGTGCAGCCCTTGCAATTGCTGGCAAAAAAGTCCTGCACAAGGGTCAGCTCCACTTTGGCTCGATGTATATGAAAACGTGGGTGTGCCCACACTTCACCCCACCGCACGCGACCTGCCGATGGACTAACATTTATACTGCTGGGTGGACAGAGGTGGTGGGATTTAAGAAACTATCCCATTGTTTTAACCTCCCGCGTTGGGAGGTCAAATCGGGCCGGTGACCTCTGGATTGCAAGTCCAGTGTGCTAAGCATTACATCCCAGTGGCATCACATCTGTTTAAGTACAATACAATTTAGTTTCCTATAACACTTAGTTATGCGTAAAACACCACGTGGTAACGACAATTACTATTCTCATAGCGAATGTCATAGGCAAGCCATATATAATATAGTGCATATCTTAGCCGTGCATGGTGCAGAGACCAAAATAGTATGGATGTGTCGTATATACGGAAGTGCATTAGAGTATATACTGTACAGTCCTGAAAGCCACTTTGTAGGTCAGCGAGCCATTAACTGAAGTACGTACTGCAATGGTAACCATCTTGACAGTATAGGGTACGATATGTAGTCTATGTACAGCGTAAACATTATAGATAGGTAAACAAACACATGTAATTGTTGTCGTAGATTAATTGACAATCATTTACTCTTTACTCATTAGCATATGATCACGTTAATAAATAACACGGACGTTATTAACAAACATCCACGTGACAAAATTACACATTAACAAAGTGTGCGCATAAAAGTGTATGCAGAATTAAATTAAAAAGCACTTACAAATTCATTTTCAGACCAACCATCTCCTGTTTGGGCTGTCGATGTAAAAATAAAAATGTTCATAATTTTTCGAAACACTCCACATACATTTTGCCGGAAATTTTACCAATGTTGCGAGGAAGGTTTTGTTGCATGAAGATGTCACACGCAAAATTGCTGCTGACTTCATGTTACTTTAAAGTCCGAATGCTGCTTTGACTCGCCAATGACATTTTATTATCCCAATGCTCAAGTTTAGACCAATTAAACATAAATGTTACAATAATGAACGTCAAGGTCATGAGCTATACATGAATTAATGAAATGTGAACAGTTTTCTCTGCATCAGTGAAAATTAAATCTGCAGATATCTATCGAAGGAGAGACCAAGAGTCATCAGGGCGGTTATAAGAGCTCCTTTTTGATTGAGGAGGTCACGACGCTGCTGCACCCTTTACAAATCAGCACAAAATAGCGGTGGCAAGAAGGTTAAACATAACGAGAACTCCTTCCATTTATATTTAAGCGGTCAAAATGAATTGGCCCTTTGTACCTTAATTTACGGACATTTTTGATGCATGCTAATTAAACCTACTTTTGTTACATTTTTAATGAGATTAACGTTTCACAAATGTCCAGGTATGTTGTAACCTTTTTCTATATTTAAATGTTCATAATCTTCTGGTGACTAAAATGAGGTGCAATGTTTTGAACGGATAAATGCTGTCACCAATGTCAACCTTTTAATGTGACATTCTCAAAATTGATATAACTTTATTAAATACAGTGTATCCCCTCAAAATAAAACCGTGTTTACACAGTAAATGGTGCATATTATTTAAATGTTTTCCTCAAGAATCACCTAAACCATCTACGTGGCAGTGGTGACTGTTGTATACGTGTAATATACGTTGCTTTGTGTGTGTCACTGTGGACACCCCTGCAATTGAAATGTTCCTCTCAAGGGCATTTTGAGGTGAAATATTTGCAAAACAAAATATTTTGAAAATATCCATGTGTTTTATAAGCACAGTACAGTCGACCCTTCTGCATGGCGACTTTACCCATCGCGGTTTCGATATATCGTGGAGTCGGCATATGAAATTAAATGGGAATTTTTTGGAAGTTTTTTGGAGTTTTCCGAAAGCCGCAGGTGACACGTGAAGGCCAGCAGACGACACACAAAAAGTTTAGTAACTCATAAATGCATAAAATATATGTACAGTGCTGTATAATATAAATGTATTTTATCTTTTAATACAATAAATATACGCTGGAGGTGCTCACTTCACTCGCCAAGGGGACAAAAAACATTTACGCGTTTTTTCCAGATTGCGGGGGGCCTGCGCCCCTAACCCCCGAAATGTGGAAGGGTCGACTGTAGTATGATGCAGTGTCCCATCACGATTTTTGTGGTGAGTGTGACTTTTTTTCCACACTGTTTACTCGGAAAACTAAAACGCTGCATAATAGATTGCTGTCCTCAAGGATCGCAGGTTACACAGCACTTGAAATTCAAATGCGAACAATCTCATGGCAGGTTGGGAAAATAAATGTGATTTGTGCTGGCACAGAAAGTCTGCGGTGGGGGGCGGGGGGGGGCAGGTGGGAGAGGGACACAAGATAAAGTTCTGATCTATAGCAATTTATCAACGTCAAATATTACAATCACGTGCATGCGCAGGAATTGTACACATGAAGTCCTTTTGCAGCCCTCACTATGGGATATAAAGTCACACGATGTCTGGAATCACTGTAATGGTTCTTACCTGGAGGCTGTGCTGTGTAATCTTTGTCTGGAGGATTTGGCACCAATTTTGAACTGCTAAATCTGTAAGAGCAGATAGCCATGCTGAGAGATTGGAACTTTGAATCAGGATGCATATGAAAAACAGTATTGAATTAAAATTACCCGTGTGTGTGTGTGTTGATTCCTTACTTGTTCCAAGGTGTTCTTGGTTGCTCACCAAGTGTTTTACTGAGAATTTGCACCTTCCTGCAGAAGAAAGAAAAGGTGATATTTTTTTAGATTTGAAGCTTTCGTGACTGCAAGGATTCATACTCTTAGTTTTTTTCGGTAAAAAATAAAAATCATAATAAAAAGAAAATAATAATAAGTTAATTTAATATTACTTTAATTCTATTATAATAATAAGTTAATTTATTATTATTTTATTTCTATTATTCTTTTAATTTTTTACCTACGTGACTTTACCGAAAAAACCTAAGAGTAGGTGGTATTTTACATGCAGGACAAAAAAGCCACACTGATTGTATAGGATTTTATTACAATTAAGAGAAAAGTTCACTCATGGGATTGAAAATATGGAGTATACAATATATCATATTGATTTGTACGCACAAAAATACCGATGTGTACACTTATAAAATTACATGGCGTTAATTAGCAGATAACATGGGGCTCACTGAGCGACTTGGTTTTCTCGTTTGATTTAGAATGTGCTGACAGGGTTGGCTCTGCTTACATGCGTGATCTTTCTGGGAACATTTGGAGGACACTTGGATGAAGATCCTACAAAAGCACAGGAACAACATGGGTCGATTAAATAAATACTATTTACGAACAGTATTTCCAACATGCGCAAGTGTATAGGAGGAAAAAAACAATCTTGTTTCCTTCAATATCAAATCTATGCTTCTGAAATATGATTTGATGTTCAATTTTATTGTGTTTAAGACGCGACTATAATGTTCATTGACGATATAAGAGAACGGTTAGGAGTGAAAGACTGCGATGGTTTGGTCATGTTAATAGAATTAACCCAGGCAGAATCCCGCACTTTGCGATGCAACACAAGAGTGAAAAGAAACAGGAGCAAGAGAGAAGACGAAAACCCAGGGGCATGGATAAAATATCTCAATAGAGAAATAATTGCGACTGAACGAAACTATTGCAACTGGTAGTCATGTTGTCAGCCCCATAGCAGCTAACGAGCTCATGAAAGGGACAGATGATGATCATGGTGAGAATGTTCATTGAAAATATTTTTGCATTACTTTTGAGTATTGGCTTATACATTGTTGTATTGCTGTATTGTGATGAAATTAAAAGATTAAGCTACTTGCTGCCATTGGAGTAGAACATTGCGTTGTATTAAGATGAATAACCTTTTCCCACAGTTTTGTCAAAATGCATGTTCACTCTCTGTTATGAACATGGCTTGCTGTACTACAGTATTTTTTATTTGTTTCGCAGTCGTTGAACTTATTTTGCAACGTACCCATCCAACCGTGCTAATCGGAGGTACTGTTTAGGACGAGGCTATGTGTGGTCATGCTGCCAACACGTGGGTGCCTCGCACTGCATTGCGCATCAGAAAAGTTGGACACGAACAAAGCTACCTACCCACGTTGTTGGGGTGACCTATTAGTCAACACGATGCTAAAATTGGGAAAAGGAAACGAAGCGTTGGCACCAATAATAATCGGGGTATTAGTCGTAATTTTAGTCGAAGTTAGAGTGTTGCTATGATACAGTATGCGATGGTCACTGCTCAACTTTGTTGATGGTCATGAGCCAGTGGTCAAGATTTCACTATTTTACGGTCAGTTTTTAAAGATACAATTACCGTTGATTCCCCACTAGATGGTGCTAATTTTACTCATTTTGGTCAGCATTTTAGATCACATTTCGATGTCGGCTTCACAGCACGAACAGTGTGTTGGCCAGTAATTTATTACGTTTCATATACTAATTGTTTAAATGGAACCTCTTGACTTCTAAATTTGTCCTAATTTACACTTAATATTTCAACTAAACAAGTGTGTTTTTATATCTTGAAACTTGTTCAAATTTCACATGAACTGTTAATTCTCGGAGATTTGAAAGTTAAGTGAACGAAACGTACCCAATCTATAATAGAGGTTGAAAAAACATTACCGGCGAAATGTCGTACTCGAATTGTAAATGTTGTGGGGTTACTCTCCCAACACACCGGTGTGCTGAACTCGTAACTAATGTTTGTTTACATGACAAACCTTACTAATTGGCTGTGTCCGGTGGTGGTCGGTTTAATGACACATTTATATTTACGCGATCTAACACAAAAAAACTCTCATGAATAATATTGGTCGCGAAAGTCTACTACGTGTTAAACTGAAACGTACCCTTTTTTCCACGATACTACTAGGTTGCAGGGTACATTTGTCCCATGAAAGTGTTGTAACACTTTTAATGTCAACAGGAAAAAAATAAGAATAGGTTTTTTAACCTTTCTGCTAATATAACAGGTGTTAATTAAGATGTAAAAAAAAACCAAATAGATTCCTTTTTGCAAGGAATCAAGTCTGCATTAACCACACGTACTTATGGAAAAAACATGCAAACAAACTTGCTCTAATAATCGTTGCATTGTCTTTGAAACGGATTGGCCTAGACCAGAGACAGCCTTTTGTATGGCCCAGTCTCACCAGTGTCAGACCAGAGAAGGTCAAAAGGCGACAGTACAAAGACAATGCACGTATCAGATCTATGGAGTTCATGTGAACATCTCTGCAGCCATTTCAGAACATCTGATTTGACTTCCTCATCAGCCTTTTGCCCATCTGTAGTTCATGGTTAAACTTCTTGCGCCATTCAACTGCACTGCTGTATGGAAGACACATTTCACAGAACTGAACAAATCTAGCCTGTACATTTCCAGTTCGGAAATTCTTTCACCAGAAAGGTTGTTATACAAACACTGTTCTCCGGAGAACTTTGTTTTCCACCATCTGAGAGCTACTGTACCCAGTTTTTGCCTTTCCCACTCGACACATTCTGGAGTGGTTAGCTACCCGTCATCGTTATTGAGATCAAAAAGTTACAGGTTAACCATTATAGACCCTCACAGATGGACATTTTAAATATATTTTACCATTATAACTCATACGCTCATAAACTGTAGCACACTTGTATGCAGTCAGGCCAACTCTAAAACATCCATTTCTAAGAAAGTTCCCCTTTCCATATATAGATATGAGCTTGCAGTGTGTTTTTGACAGGGTTATACAAAAATCTATCAATTTCTGCATTCCTGCTGCGGCATCATTTTGGAAACTTGGAAAATAAAAACTATTAAATGAATTTATAATATTCAGGCGGACATCGTAAAAAAACTGCTTATGCTATCAATTCAATACAGTATACGTACAATAAATAATACGGTGTATATTATGCATAATGACACGACTGTTGTACGCAGTACACAGTTAACGGTATAATTAACCACCCCGCTTAAGTTAAATTCTGGGCCGCAGTTATCATCACGGTGGCTAGGAGATGTTAACCAGCTCGCCTGGTATATGGGTTTCATCCTGACCCTGATGCCTGCATATTTGGAGTTTGCATGTCTCTCCCCATGGTTGTGTGGATTTTCCTCCGGTTTTTCCCTCCACATTTAGAATCAACATGCGTTTAGAGTATTTGGCTGCTATAAATTTGCACAAGGTAAGCAATTTCGTTGAGCTATCATTTGTGGTCAGCTTCTCAAAAAGAGCGATATATGTTTGTGGGCCTTACCTAGTAAAAATAAAAAATAGTTTATAATTTTACTGTATCGGTGGTGAGTGATGTTTGAATCTTATCTGGGCAGTCACCTTCACCAACCACACACTGATCAGCATTGTGAAGTACAGTCAAATAATGGCCATGACCAATAAGGCACGGGAAGGACTTCAGCCATGAGAGACTATATCAATACATTTATCACATAATGCCTTCATGTGTATGAAGCTTCTTTTTCAAGAGGGTTCTGTATTGTGATATTTCGCAAGTTCCTTTTGATGAGTTAATTAATAATAACAGCATATGGACTATAAGGACGAGTTTTGGATTAAACATTTCCGATTTTAGGAATTTTAGGCACAAGTTCGGATGTCTACGTTTCAGGTTTTAGCTTAATTTTACATTACGTAAACACGTAACGCGTCTCGTACTAATAAAATAAGTGAGGTAATACATGTGATATCATTTGCTGTGATGTCATCTTTTTGTATCAATCCGAAATAAAAGCTTCAGATGACCTGGAATGTTGTTATTTAGGCCTGATTTTCGTTCTTCCCAAAAATTGGCAACACATCCCTAATACACTGTGAAATGTATTATGTACATATAATAGTGTTGGATGTATTGAGGAAGCTAAAAAAGTGATTTCGATTTAAAGCTTTCGTGACTGCAGGGATTCATCTTCTTGGTTCTTTCGGTCAAGTCATGTAGAAGGGAAAGACAGTCTCGACAGACCTGTTCTTCACCTGAGGACGGCTGCTTGCGTTGTGGCCGAAACGTCGTGAGAATTATTTTAAAATGTTTTATTTTTATTATTTTATTATTTCCCCTCTACGTGACTTTACCGAAAGAACCAAGAAGCTAAAAAAGTGATGTTATGGCAGCTTTTGTTTGCTGATGATTTGGTTATTATACCTGATTTAGAAGGGCAGCTTGAGGCCAGGTGGGTGAGAAGACAGGGCAGTCTGGGGGGGCTTCTAATGTTCGGGAGTGGTTAGGGGCGGCGAGACCGCGGTGGTTCGAGCACGTGAAAGAAGAGACAAAGAAGATGCGATTATAAGAACTATGGGGATGTCATCAGTGCAGTGCAAAAGTTGTCGAGGCGTTGGAGGGTCACGTGGAATGAATGTGGTTGGAATAAGAAATGAGAGTGGAAGTGACTTGAAAAAAAGCTACAGACTATAAGTACACGGAGAAAAATAATCTGAGCAGCTGGACTCATGCGTTCATGGGACTTTTGGCTGAGAAGCAAAATGTTGTATTACTACACATCAGCATAGAACTGCTTTTTGCGTTTTGTTTGTTGTCCTTCCCTCGCACTTCCGAGGAGCATTGGCTACGTACGGTGCAAAAGAAGTACAATGTACGTACATATACACAAATACCTGGTTGGTTTTGTGAACTACACAGGAGGAACTAAAGTGACTTGTGTAGTGCGATCACAGCACCCCCCTTATAGGGTATTGTGATGTTCATAGACATTTGCAACAGCCTTGAACACCGACCAGGCTATAGTATAAGGCTGAATTGTATGGTTAGCAGTATAAATATTCGTAAATGTTTACTTTATATTGCTTTCATTAAATAAACTACAACATAAAAAAATCCCTGTAGCCGTTTTATGTTTCCCTTGAGCAGTGCAATCCTTCCATGATTTGTGCTGGAAACCATTTGTTTAACCTCATTAATTGTCCATTTGAATAAAATTACTATATTATTATGCACAAGTCCAGGATGATAAATAATGAAATACCACAGAATTGTTTTCTAAAATGCTTATTTCCTAAATATATTGTTTCCTTTTTTATTAAATTATATTCTGGGGTTTTAATTCGACAGATCCTTACCAGCAAAGCTTTCCCGTCAATTTGGTTCCTCCGGGCTACAGAGGCACAGTCTTCCAACTTGTTCTGGACAGAAAAAAATGAAATTTAAACAATTACTTGTTCTCACACATTTAATGAGCGAAATGCATTACATCATCATCACCACGATCAATGTGCAGCTAGCCCATGGGTGTCAACTGCACGTTTCGTCATGTATTTCCACTTTCCTCCTGTCTTCTGCCAATAAGTTCAAGTAGTGGCACCGATCTCTTGTCGAGATTAATTACATTCACGGCGAATGCATTCCGTTTTTTTCATGTACGAGGAACATTTCTTGTAAGTGGGTTGTTGCGTTACCTGGTTTTAAGGTTTGCTCATTGGATAAGTGTTTGGTCAGCGTACTTACAGCATAATCGAATGTGGTCAACATTGCCAAGAGTTGCATGATTTTAAATTTTCCGATCGTGAGTGATAACGACTTGTGGCACGAAAAGTTATTTCAATTAAGCCAGCAGAAAATGTCACATTTAAAAAATATATACGCCCACAAAAGTACAGTACTGTATTTTATTTGCTGACATGCGATAAAACGCACATTTTAAAAGAAATGCAGTTTTTTTATAGAAACAAAAAAAGTCTGAATTCCCTTCATAACCTCAAAAACGTATATTTAACACAAATGGCCATCGAATTATACTTGTTATATAATTCAACGTTTAGATGGCCATTTGTGTTAAAATACATTTTGGAGGTTATAAATGGAATTATAATTATTATTATCTCCATGTATGTATGGCAAATTTAAATCGCTATTTTGCGAATACATGTTAAAGTGTTATCAATATTTACATTTAATAGTACTGTATAGCATACATTTGAATTCGTGGATGTTGGGTCATTAATTTGCACTTAAGTTCATAATTTTCTTTTTCTAATTTGGTTACGCTTCATCTCCCCTTTGTGACAATTATGCATTCATTCTGAAATCAACACTTATACGTATATACATTAAAAAACAAGTTTTCAAATTGGGTGTTCGTCTGACCTCAATGAAGCACTCATTCTGAATGCCACATTACAATCCATGTTGACCTTTTGTAACACTGTATATATTGGCAATGTACGAATTTCCATTGCAGGTATGTTAAGACTTATTTACAGAATTCATACTTTCCTGCTGCAAGACTTTAACAAAAAGAAACTCGACTGATGAAGTACAGTATTTGATTTCGATTTAAAGCATTCGTGACTGCAGGGATTCATCTTCTTGGTTCTTTCGGTAAAGTCACGTAGAAGGGAAGTAATAAAATAATAAAAATAAAACATAATAAAATAATTCTCACGACGTTTCGGCCACAACGCAAGCAGCCGTCCTCAGGTCTGTCGTCTCGACAGACCTGGTCTTCACCTGAGGACGGCTGCTTGCGTTGTGGCCGAAACGTCGTGAGAATTATTTTATTATGTTTTATTTTTATTATTTTATTACTTCCCTTCTACGTGACTTTACCGAAAGAACCAAGAAGATACAGTATTTGAATTGTCCACTTTTTCGAGCGAGGGGGTAGGGGACACACATCGTATTTGGCAGTCACGATCAGAACCGTAAATTTTTGGCAAGAGGCAGACCTGCTGAAATAAATGCGCTTTAAAGTTGTTATCAAGTCACATGCACACACACACGCGTGGCTTGCGTGTGGCACGACCACACGTGGAACTTCCGCTTTAAACTTCCGCTTAACTGCCAAGCAGCCTTGCCTGTAGGGACACAATAGTCCACGTGTGCGGAGACCTGTCTCGCATTACGGTATATTTTCCAGCATTAATCCTTTAAACGTAAGAAATTATGCATTCACATTTGTTCCATGCTGGTCCCCAGATGTTAAACCAAAACCTGTGATTATCAGCTCCATGAAAAAAAAACTCCAGCCATGTTGACCTTTTGTAACACTGTATATATTGGCAATGTACGAATTTCCATTGCAGTTATGTTATTACGCAAACAACGGTACTTGCAGTATTGCAGTATAATTGACGGTGGTGAATTCCCGGGGGAAATATTGAAGCATATAAAATCATTTAAAAAATTCTAATAACATTGTATTATGTGCCGATTTTCCCATCTTCGGAAGACATTTAACTCAACGTTTCATAGCAAAAACCAAAAAGCCTTCTACTGTCCTGCAAAAATATGCCCTTCTCATAAATATCACATCTGGTGTTGACAGCTTACCCCCCATTAAAATTCACGACATTCAAGCAGCCTGCACATTTTTATAATCGCACAATTTAACCAATCACACCCCGCGACATAACCACAGTTTAAACGCAATTAGTTTCCTACGCGTACAGTTAAGCTAAATGCGTACACATTCTCCCGTTATATCGTACAAATACAGAAAAAGTGTTTCATTTATTACAAGTACATGAGGTCATAACGGTAGAATCTGTTGTGCATAGCAACATATTTCAAGAGGGTTACAAACAAACACATGTTGGCATAACTTCACGTTAAAGCTAATTCCATACACGGCTTTACCTGTCGGAACCAGTCAACCACATCTTGGGGCTTCCACAATTGAACGTTCTTGTTTTTCGGCTGTCGTGCAGACATAATAAATTGATATCAACGCGCACACACACACACCAACACCACCACCAAGTATCTTCTGATGGACGTGCTTCTGCTGCCCCTGTTGATGTATAGGCAGCAACCTCCGAGTGTTTTCGCTTTGACACTTTGTTCGCGACTGCCTCTCTTCCTACAGTGCACTCAGCAGTTTGCACAACTCAGTTCCTCTTCACGCCAAATGGTCCTATGTTCGCGGTTTTCATTCTTTGCCATGGATGGGGGGCGTAATACTGTAAGCTAAGCATTTCCTATGCCAATTAAGTGTCTCATGCCGATAAGATTTTTTTTAATAGAGCAATAATTATGAATTATTATTTAGGAGTGTGTATAAATTTGTATCGAATGGGTGTTGGAAATGCCTTCCCTCTGGCTTTCTAATTCTCTGTATGTCGTTTCAAGTTTATAAACATACCAGAATGATTGAAGGAGACACCTCAGGATTGTAAGTCTGCTATAAAGGAAGCCATGTACCATGGTTTATAAAGATGCAATACCAAGCAATATCAATTCATTTAAACTTACTTTTTAGTTTATTTTGAGATTGAATATAAACCGGCCGATGTAATTGTCCAAAATACTTTGACGTTTATATGATACCCCATTTGTCATTAAAGCATTTAAAAAAATAATTTCTCATGTGGCTTGAACGGTGCGCTCTCCTCTCAGAAATCATGTACAATGAATATACAGTATTAGTGTTGCTCAACACATTTCAATGTTGGAGTTTTAAAAACAGGCGCAAGGGTAGAAATATACCAGCTCTTTATTTTTCCAATACTTTACACTTACACTGGAATAACACTTAGCAGCAACGCAGTGGGTATGTAGTAAAAACATTCGTAAATAATGGCAGCATCAAAACAAGCTTACAAATTACAGTAGTACAACTTCCTTTCCACGTATTGTTGCATACACAGTATTTGTATAGCTTCCGAAAAGAACGGTGCCAAGCATTTCTTAAAGGTTCAGAATTCGGCAGGTGCAGCGTACCATGCAATCAAATGACAACAAGCTTTCGAGAAAAAAAAACCTATTGTTGATCACATATCAAATTCATGTACATAAGTCATTTATATTTCAGTTGAGTGTACGATATATCTAAATGGTCACACTGCATCTGCCCATTAATTGTCCCAAAAATTTCTGCTCAACTCTACGTGTGCCACATGGTTTAGACCCAACACTTCATATCATTAAAACGAGGTTTCATCAGATCCCCCAGATGATGTTTCAAAATCAAAACCTAAACTTCCCGATAAGTTCTTTGTGTAAAAATGGAACCCCTTTTTGGACACCACAGCATTGTAAGTACAGTACTGTTATTACTTTATAAGACTACTAAGAAGATTAAAATACTATCTACTAATTTTACATCCTGAGTTAAAAGGTAATTCAGGAAATGTTATGTTGTTAATGTTATAATGTGCTTACATTGAAGTTTAATGCAGCTCTTTTGCTGTTATGATTTTAGTTTAAGAGGATACGGTTTCTCTGGTAAAAGCCTCGTTAATTTACATACTATGTGACCGCTGATTTTATTTAGGACTACATGTGTCGTGTGTTTTAAAATAAAGCTTTAGTTTCTTCGCTAGAGAGTGTGACTTGTCCATAAAGGAATAAAGTAAATGTTTGAATTCATAAGACCCGGGGTAATTGTCTGTGTATGTTTAAAACATACCAACATGCTTATCAAATGTGAGTGTTCAACTATCCAACATATGCAGCTGGCTTTTGTCTATTTTTTTTAAATGACCGTGTTCTTTTAAAAAAACAAGTATACGGCCAACCTCTTTTTGAAATAAAAACTAAAGTTTCTTGTTCATGATAACGAGTATTATTAAATTGGCTAATTGCTAGCTTGCAGTCTTACTGTAGTTAAAATGCCTTGGGGTTTCAAAATGAGATCTTCCATTTCCAATATTCTAAACAACCGAACAGCTTTCATATACTGTTAAGGCAATCGTTGTTCGTGAGCACTGATTACACATACAAAGACCACCCTTATCTCCTTAACAAACTGTTGTGCCAAGTGCTCTTAGCGAGCACCTATGCAAGCTGCAATGGCACACCAAGGGGGTGGGCGGCCACCACCACGCCCGGCCGCCTTTGTCTCCCCAGTGGCGTTGTTTACACACCGCACCAGGTACTCATTTGAGGCTGAGTCGACCTCAGGAAGGCCCAGGACCGGTTCAGATAATCGTCACTGGTGTTGGCCGTGAGCAGGAATCGAACTCGGGGGGACAGGTTCAGTCGTGCAGCGTGCTAACCACGGTGATTTTTCTGCAATATTTAGCTGCCTTTTCTTGGATTTTCTGTTTGCACATAGTCACTTTAAGATGTTTTCTTGTTCATGTTTTTGTTTTTTGTTTGTTGCGGTTGCACCCGATTCAAGAGCCGAATGGCTCACAGGGCAATACCTAATAAATGAACTTGAACTTAATACAAAAACCCAAATTATAGCCTTGACATACTGTTGGGGCAAGTGCTGTTAGCGAGCACGTATAAAGGCCAGCACGGCACACGAAGATGAGTGCCCACAAGCGATTGACACGCTCCATGCTCGAAGTGCTACGACGTGTAAACACGAATCACGTCCTTGATGTGAGCCCTGCACATGGGGCACTTGGGCGACTGGGAGGCCTTAATGCCCACGGCACAGCTGTGGCACATGCACAGGTGTCCACAGGTGTAGATGACGGCGTTCGCGGGGCGGCTCATGCACACGATGCACTCGGAGTGCAGCGCGCTGTCGTAGAAGCCGTCGTCGATGGGCTCGGACCCAAACGAGACGAGCTGTGTTGAGTCCGGCTCGGAGGAAATGTCCTGGGTTGTCGATGAACTTCTCATCGCAACTGTGGAAGATAAGACAGTGGTGCTTTTTTTTTTAAACATCTCCAAAGTCAAATGCAGAATAGACTGTAATCATCAATTCAGCGTTCATACGGGTCGTCTAATCCAAGAGCTCGGCAAACAAAATAACAAGAAGAAACAATTTTTTTTTCGGATTCGATAAAAAAAACGCTCAATATTTTAACAGCCGCAATGCATGTGAATACGAGACGGTGGGTCCTTAATACATCACGGTCACGAATCCATTCCTTAAAGAGCCGCATGCGGTTGCCGACCCCTGCTCTAATCTATTCCTAGAGCCGTTTTTGCCAGCTCGTATGCGAGAACAATTAATTATATGGTTTTCAACGGCATTGTGTATTTACGAAATGTCATCAGGGCAGAATGACATGGGTCAGCGGTAAGACTTCGCCTCTTGTTGCAGAGGTTCGTGGTTTGCATCCGGAAGGCCGCTCTGGTTATTACTGCGGGTATATATTCATAAAATACGGGCGCCTTATCTTTCACAGTGGACATTAAATATCGCATGACGTCATTTGAAACGAGTGGGTCATTGTGTGCTCGTGTCAAGGTTCAAATTTGCCACGCAAAAAAAATGCTCTCAAATGACTCAATTGGAATTACATACAAGATGTCCTCCTTCTGGGAAACTCCTTTGTAGACTACACCTACTAAATATAGCTCCTTCGTGATAGCCTTGTGTTCTTAAAATACCAAATGATCAACTACTTTTCAATTATAAAATAGGTATGTTCTTAAATACACTGCAATGGTAGGTCAAGCAATGATTTGGCATGATGGTAATTAGAAAAAATATACGGAACATGATATAACTTCTGATGGGATGGATCTTGAAAGAAGATATGTACAGCACTGGGGAAATGGGAGTGATGGATTTGGGTCATCAATAATAGGAGCACGTTTAGCTACATTTGAGAAGATTACGTTTTTACAGAACTATATTTGTAACTAAAAAGATTCAACTCTTTAGTTTCAAGCACAATAAATGTAAAGTCTGTATACTAATATTGATTGTAAAATATGACTTGCTTAGTTTTGTCATGTGCATAGCCTTGATCAGTTTTCATTCCAGATTTTAATGCTACTCCAGGTTTTATAGCAGAGAATTGTTACTCTTTGGTTCTTTCGGTAAAGTCACGTAGATATAAAATAAAATAAATAACGACGTTTCGGCGCAACACATGATGACGGACGCTTGTGTTGCCCCCGAAACGTCGTGATTTATTTTATATTATATCTACGTGACTTTACCGAAAGAACCAAAGAGTATGGATTCCTGCAGTCACGAAAGCTTCAAATCAAGATTGGAGAATTGTTCTTTTGCAGCTGGTACAGCCAAACATTGTCCCCCCCAAAGCACACCCTGTGAGTGATTGCCGACTTGCTCGTTGCAGACTTTGGAATGGAATGCACAACTTGGTGCTGTGTTCTAATGAGTTTTAATGATGATTGTGGAGTTTTTTTTATGGGCACTGTGAGTGCAATGTGTTATGTAGGCGAATGCCACCCCTGTTACATATTAACCAAGCAGAGCTGTCATAAACAACTGCATGTTTTGCTGCTATAAAATGAAACATTGGTTGAGACAGCCAGTATTAAAAAAGGCACATGAAATGTGTCAGACTGCTGGTTTAAATTGATAAATTGTCACTTTTTTAAAAGTTACACATTTTTGGAAATTGTTACCGTTTTTAAGTATTGCATATTTATCACATTTTCACATTATGGTTGGCAAATATATATTTATACGCTCTGTTCAGATAAACAGGAATTAATACAATCATATTTGTTAATACAATGATGTGCTGTATAGCATATTTGATCATTTATTTTTTATAATGTACTGTACGAACCCGGCGACCAAAGCTCGATTTCCGTTTACGACAGACACCAGTGACGATTATCTGAACCTGTCCTGGGTCTCTCCTAGGACGACTCAGCCTCATATCGCAACTAGTGACACAAAGGCGGGCAGGCGGGCGACGTCTTAAAGGTGTACCTTGGAACATGACATCAAGTGCTGTAAACTACTGTCCAGAGATGCGTTTTAGTCAGTCCGTAATGGACTAAATGGTGATACAACGCACGAAATCATTGTCGTGTATTTGTGTGGTAAAGCCAGTCAGTGGTTAGTACAGAGGCCGCATGCATTGTTGCATCACGGCAGTTGTACAAACCATTCAACAAAATCATGCTAATAATGCACATAGGGTGTCATTCACATGTATAAACCAACATATTGCCTATTTCTGGAATATGGAATAGGTAATTGAGTGGACACAGGCGTACAATGAAATTCACCAAGCCAGCATGGATAAAAATAATTTTGTACGTCCAACACCGAAATACATTATTCGCATTTCTCCCTCCTTTAGAAAGCTCGACAAATGATGTCTTTTCACATTGCAGTCCCTAATATGTTTACATACCACCGTATGTCCAAGTAATGAGCCACTCAACGAAAGATGTGGCTACCCACATCTTTCATTGAGGATTCAGAGCAGAGCTGTGGTTTTTTTCTCAGTTTGCTCTCCAATGTCATGAGTATATTGTGACAGTTTGCTCCACTTTGTCACGCACGGTTTGTAGCATCCCTATATAGTGTCCCGGGGCGGGGGAGGCAGGGTCGGGCCTGTCCTTGATTGGGGAGGTCAGCGGGGGGGAGGCCTTGGGCATCTTGCCTAGGGCTCTATCCGCCATTACTCGATACTTGTGATACTGAACATTTGTGGAAAAAAGAGCTTCATAGCTTATCGGCTTCCTCCACGATAAATATTCTGATTCTCGAGCACGTGCAGTATGGGGTCGGGAGGCCACAGGTGCTGGCTTGAGTTGCACAAGGTAGGGCCGGGGTCGCAAATCTGACCTCGACGTGCCAGAGGGAAGAAAAACCTCAGCCCCCATCTTGAACTGTGGGGCAAAATATATTGGGTTGATGTCAATGTAGGGGTCAGGGAGGGTACGTTTGAGCGCTGCTCACTCGGTCATGACGTCACCATAAGTTCCAGTTAAAGTGTACAAAATGTTGGGAGAGCCCAGCGACGTTCCATGTTGCTCATTGATGATGACAAGAAGGATGCGTTAATTTGTAAAAGTTTTGCTTGTGCTTGCTTCTATGCATTGCACACCACATTCTGCCGGAAAAGGAAATAGAAAGTGTTCGTGTTTTGTTTTGTAGTACTCGATTAACCTCATGTAATAAAGTAAACTTTTTTAAATCTAGTGGATGGGTAAAGAGGGCATTGGTGATGGAGCAGTTGTGGAGAGAGTGGAGAGTTTTACATCCCTGGGCAGTGTGCTTATGACCAGTTCTGGTTTGATAGTAGAGGTCTCACTCCGAATCAGTCGGGTGGCATTATCTTTTCATCGGCTGTGCAATGCTGTGTGGAAGCTACCTTGTCTATCACCCCACACGAAGCTTCGGGTCTTCTCGGCCACAGTCATGCCCTCCCTTCACCATGCTTGTGAAACGTGGACCCCTCTAATGGGACATCTGTACCGGTTAAAAACATTCAGGCTGGCATGGCTACAATCCATCCTGGGTTTAACCAGGATGGATTGTGTGAGGAGCTCACAAATCCTTGAAAGATCTGGACACATTCCATCAGTGAGCTCCTTCTGCAGGCAAGGCTGTGTTGGCTGGGTCATGTATTCGGCATGCCCAGCCACCACATGCCCAAGCAGCTTCTGTTTGGCTGCATAGAGGGGGCTAAATGGGCACGTCATGGGCTGGAGAAGAGATGGACTGATGCAGTACGGGAGGATGTGGAGCTGAGTGGACTTTCTGACGACTGGCACCAGCGGTGTCAATATCGGCCTCTGTGGAGGAGGCTCGTGAAGGACGCTACTGGGCAGTTGGGAGCAGTCACCCTCCAATAACAACGGAGGGCAGTGGAGCGACGGTCAGCTAAAATGCAGCAAGTTGGCACAGTAAGATTACAGCTGGTGCATCTGCCAGTCATCTCAGTCAGCCAACCCATGGCACCTGGGTCTGTCCCGAGACCTCCTGTCAGCGAGCCTTGGACAATTCACGTGGCCTCAAAGTGCACGTGGCTTGGCACAAGCGCCGTGGTGACATCACCATCACTTAGTCGCGAATGGCAGGTATTGATGTATTATTTTAACACGTAGGCTTTCGCGACCAATATTATTCATAATCAACGTTTTTGGGTTTAGATCGCGTTATTTATAAATGTGTCGTAACCCTCCACCACCCGACACGGCCAATCAGTAAAAAAGTGTCACGTTGACAAAAGACAAATAGTTCACTGCTTTAGCCCACCGGTGTGTTGAAGCGTGAAACCACAACCGCCATTCTGGCGAATTGCCCGATGATGCTGGATGCAATTACCAGCGAAACGTCGTACTCAAATTGTAAATGTTGTGGTTTCACGCTTCAACACACCAGTGGGCTAAAGCAGTGAACTATTTGTCTTTTGTCAACGTGACACTTTTTTATTGATGTATTATGTTTACCAGCATCATCTTTGTATTCAACAAAAAGTGGTTTATAATCTAACCCCCAAAAAACCTGTATTATGGATGATATTGGTCGCGAAAGCCTACGTGTTAAAAGTGGTTTGTGGTAAGTTCTAAAACGTAGGCAAATTTCTTTCAATTGTGCCAAACGCTGATAACTAAATTTGGTTACAATTTGACAAACGCCATGTTAAAATAATCTCTATAAATGTGGAAAATGTAGTTTTATTTGAGTGTTAAAAGCTATTATACAACCCAAATTCACACTTTTTAAAGACATGCCACTCATAAATGTTTTCATATAATTTTAGCAAAGCGTGCACTCTATACCACATTGACTACGAAACACAGCCTTGATTTATTATTCCACAATGTGTTAAGTTCTGTAACCCAATTTTGCACATTTGTATTTCATAAAATGGTGATGATTATAGCTTGTGCTGGAGTTATGTTTCTGTTATTTACATGCTTTATTAAATTACGTAAATTGAAGCGTTGCATGAATGCAGAATTATATGTTTTCTCCTTGTGGATCTGCTTCAACAAAACACTATACTCTACAGTATCTCCATTTAATTGAAAAGTTTCCCCTTGACTTACGTGCGCACATTTCGATATGAAGTACGCCAATTTGTGGACAACACCAGCAAATAACTCACTTTTACAAATAAACGTCATGAAACATTTCACAGCCCCGGGTTGGGAAACAGAATGTCCTCTGAAAAGGTCAGGGTGTCTATTAGATAATGTTAAAGTGGATAATTATCAGTGTCGTTCGCATGAGGGCAGGCACTGGGTGGCAGACCGACAAACCTTGGACCTAAGCCACGTTGAACGCTCATCCATTTGCCTCCTACAATGCTTGGCTGTTATGACCCATCACTAGAGCCCTCATATGACCCAGCATGCATAGTCAGCGACTGTGGTGGCCGACAAAGGGGGAGGGCCTCAAAAGGAATTTCAGTGATCTCAAAATGGTCTGATTAATGTCACAAGGGGCTCATTCACTGGGGCTCTTTGGGTGCTAATATGGGACCTGCCGCTGATGGGGTCTATTTCTTTACAGCTCAATGTAACACAGGTTTGCAATTTACATGTAAATGAGGATATATACATCATTCTATATATACAAGCACATTTAGAATGATTGATGGAGGAACGTGATTTCTTTAGATTGAAGTTTGGCGTTAAGTCAATTTGTAGATAATGATCTATTTTATCCAATATTGGCTGGTTTAGAGTATACCAGGCATATACAAAGTACAAAGGAATTTATTTAAACCCCTATTTTATGAGTATAAAAGATAATTATGCATTTATAGGTGAAAGAAGTGTACTTTGTATTACATGTTATATCGTTCCAGCACTGTACTGCATTTTATGCATATACAGATGTAAATATTGTTTAAACATGTAAAATTGCTCACATTCATGATATAATTGTGCACAGTGAGCTACTGTTTTATGCAGATTAATACATGGAAATTCTCTACAGATATCAACGGTAAATTAATCTCAACCTCAAAATTAACTGCGTTGACAGTCTTTACATTTTTTGATCCCCAAAGCTGTAATTTTAAGGAGCACACCATTTCTTCTCAAGGACAATTTTACTGAAAGAATGTATTTGGTTACACTGCATTGGCAGTGGTTACACAAGCACAAACAAGCAACAACTGCTCAACACATTTGTCAACAAACTGCTTTAAAAGGGAAAGTGCAGTATATCATAGGCGACACTTTGAGCAATGGCCGTTTTCCATAAATTGTGTTATGAAAAATGTGGATTGCCCAAAACATCACCGATTATATATTTTTCCTTTTAAGGCAGTGTTATTGACAAATGTCTTGCGTTTTTATTTTATTTGGGATATTACTCATCATACTGGTAAAAGCACAGCTTTTGTTCCTTGCCATCTGGCAATGTGGCTGTCTGAAGGGAGAGACTTCCTCATAAGTGGGGAATTCCTCTTTCTTTATTTTAATTCACTTAATAAAAATGTTCGGTATAACAATACATTATCAAGAAATCACAAGTACAGGGGGTACCCGATATATGTCGGCCCGATATACGTTGTTTCGCACTCACGTCGCTGACTTTGAGGAACCCAACGTCAAATTTCCCCGCGCACACGACGTTGCATCGTTTTTGACTCTACAAAATATCGTCGCATCCCTTCAACAATGAGTAGCAAGTGTAGTGCTGGTGACAGTGCAGGTATTGAGTGTAAGAAAAAGCGCATTAGTAGTACGCTCGATGTTAAAATGGAAGTGATAAAGCGTCGTAGAAAAGGTGAACGTGTGGTAGATATTGGAGGCCATTTGAATCTTCCTCCACCGAGTGTACGTACGATAGTGAAGACTGCTGATGAAATAGAAAGTTAGGCTAAGCATGCGTTTAAAACATTCGGATGTTAAAATTACATGGCAAAGAAGTGTTATCATTGAAATGATTGAACGATTGCTGGCTATATGGATCGAGAATCTGCAAGAACACGCCAATCGGCTTAGCCTTTTATCAGGAGAAGGTCCTAAGCTTGTATGATGACTTGAAAAAGGAGTTGGGAGAGAAAGAAACAGCGAAAGAAACACCATTCAAGGCGGCCCGTGGATGGTTTTACAGATTTCAGGCACTATAAAAGAACGTAAAAAAATACAGGCAAAGTCAGCCAGTGCCAACATAGATTATGCAGAAACGTTTCTAAAAATAATTTTAATCACTGAAGGTGGGTATGATCCTATAAAAGGTGTTAAATCATCTCCCAACACCTTTCTCCAATAAGCACAAATCATCCACTCCTCAAGGTAAAATCATAAAATAAATAGGTTAAGGTAAAATATTTGAAAAATGCTGTTTAAGAGTATGTGCTTTTTTGCAGTAAAATAGTTTTTGTGTTTGAGTCATTGCTTAAAAATGTGACTACGGTAGTTATTTTTTAAAATAAAAATTGAAAACTTTTAAAGTGTACAGGGCTGCTTTGACATGCTCATAATAATGGTTTTAAATGAAGTGTTTGATACGTATAAATGCTGTTTAAAGGTTATTTAACTCAGAATTGGTTAGAAATGTGTACATTATGTACAGTACGTATTTTGGTTGCTTGGTATGAAAAAACATTTCCCTAAGTTACGGTCCCTATCCTTACCTTATTTCATTATTTTTTTATTGGAGAAATTGCCCCGCTTTGCATCGCATAGGCAATGATTACGCTCTTATGGTCCCAATCCCCCCTCCCCCTCATTATTCTTATGGGGGGAAATCCGTTTCGTTATAAGCAGCAACTTTCCGGTCCCTAACCTCGACGTATTTCGGGGACCCCCTGTATTGTATAAGCTAAGTTTAATCGTTTTCATACTCCATTTGGCTCTGTACATTGATACTCACCTTCACATTAACATCGGGGTGCAAGTTATATGTTATTATTTCCTTATCGTTATTTTTATTTCCCTGTTCACCAAATCACCCAGAATGTCTCGGAAGATCTTGGAAGATAAGCAGGTTTGAGCCTGAATAATGCTTGGATGGGCAAGCAACCATGCACAAACAGGGTGTCATTCGAATGCAGCGCTACATGGTGGGCAGCAGAGGGTGTTACAGCAAAATCCACTGCTGTACAATTGTACTGTGTTTCTATGCTCCCACGCATACGCTCCCCGTCTTCAGAAACCCGCATTGACCTGCGTGGCAGTGTATGGCGAGGTAACATCCACAAACCTGCATGTGGATGCCTTCATCCAGCCGTGGATTAATGACACGTGATTTAGTACAGAGAGTGCGTTCATGTTACAAATTATTTACTTTAGTCTATTCACATGTAAATGATCAATTCTGGAGTAACGGAATTACAGCTAGGGACACAGAACCTGGTAATCACACAATGCATCATAAAGCACATCGCTTGAGGTTTCGTGGCTTTCTGAATGTGCCTACGCAGCAGGTTGGTGCAACACACAAGGCTCTAATTGATTGCTGTGTTGAATACTACACTACCTACACTGTACTTGTAATTCCGTTGCCGTGGAATCACCCACATTCCATGCAAGATTGTTGTACAATTTAAATAAAAGTGTGAAAATGTACACGCAAGCATTCATTCTGTATAATTTTCCAAATGCACATATCCTCGGGAGTATTTAATGTTCAGCTCGAACGATTGCCACGGCTAGAAGGGCTGATGTTCGTCGTGAATTATGGAGTGGCAGCAAATATAAGGAACGTGTCCATAGAGGAGATGGAGCGATAAGGTCAGCTCATGTGCGGGTGTCTGGATGGCTTTCTGCATCGCAGCACTGTGAGAGATGGTGGCTTGGAGCGGCCTTCATCCAGCGGTGGATTATTCTGGCTTACGATGATCATGCATATTTGAACTTGAGTCACAAGGCAAGGGACATTTGAGTTATTTCATCGGATCTGTGCGATGTCATCACGATTTGGAAATAGGCGAACCTTTGTAAACTTATCACTATGTTTTCGTCAATTTAATACACTTACCCAATTGTCAAATATCAACAGAATTGTATAATCCAATGCAATTGATATTGGATTCTCTTTAAGACAGTCAAAGCGACTCCCATTTGCAGACATGGAGAGACAGACGGGTAGACGGAGCAGACATAGCCAATGCATCAACGCTGTCAACCTCAGTTGTAACGCGTACAAAAAAAAACTATGTAGGAATTGTACGCACGATCGCTACTGCACTATGGTACCCGTCCATTTCGTAATGTTTGTACCTTGATTCTGTGGACTGAGCGGATCGTTGCGCACTTGCAACGACAACCTGATGGCCATGTTCATCTGCTCCACTTCCGACATGCCCCGGCTGCCTGGGTTGACATCGATCACTTGTCCTCGTGCAGCGGTCGGACTTGAGCTTCCAGACGCTGGGGCAGGTGGTGACACAGCGCCGTTACCTGGCTGAGCGCTGGTCAGATCGACCAAGGAGCGGCTGCACGTGAGCCTTGCATTCGATAGCCTGGCAGGGGTGCCGGGAGGCATCCTCTGGTTGTCCTTCGTCGTGGGCATAACCCTCCTATTCATTTCAGGAGTAGAGGGTGTGGACATGTTGACCGGCTTTGCTTTTTTGAAGAGGCATCTCAGGGAGGCGTGCAAGTTTTGGGGTAGAATGTTGGCGTGCTTGTTGCTTCTATTTTCCTTGCTTTGGTTAGTGTTCACTTGCTCCTCTCTAGTAGCAACCTGAGTGTTTCTTTGTGGATGGTCAACAGGGTGGTGCTTCACTGACTTTGAGACATGTGCGCGGTCTTGGCTCATTTGTGGATTTTCCTTAATAGGCAGCTGAATCCGTTCTAAATTTAAATTAGGCCTTTCATTCCACACTGGGAATATCGGACCATGTGGCCTCCCATCTTCTCTTCCATGCTTACCACTGTTTTGTCTAGAAATTGGTTCTTTCACAATAGATTGATGAGAAATGTGTTCCGTGGACGGCTGGCTGTCTGTGCTTCTTATGCGACGGTGATGGTATTCTTCCCTCGGTGGCTTTTGTAAGTTGAACAGATCTCCTGAGCTCTGACATGTTTCCGTAACCATTATTACCTTCCCCTCTGACTTGGGAAAGACATTTTCACCTTGAACTCTATGTTTCTGATCATCGCTCGCAAAAGGCTGTTCTGAATGTTGCAGCCTTTTATGCTGATGAAGAGAGTTCGATGTTGATGGGAAGAAGTATCGACGGGGAGTTGACGGAGTTGTAGGACAAGACATGTTCTCTCTTGGTTGGTGACCGGCTTGAGAGGGCAATGTAGCAAATGTTCTCCGCTTGAAACTCGGACTGATTATTTTGTCAGGGCTGTAGGGTGGTGCCCCTGAAGGGTTGACACCAGAGGAGTTCTGGGCCCTTGGATTTGACCTGGACGACGACGAGTAGTCTCTCTGCCGGACCACAGGACTTGACGGGCTTGACCACCGGCCTCGTCTCGATGTGATGCCTTCATCTGACAGGCGACGTTGTTGACATTGCGGTTTCTCTAAGCCTGAAAATAAAATCGACATTGAATTATATTACAATGTATTGATGAGTTTTTAATAGTGTATTTAATATACCATGAATTAGGCACACGCTGAATTAACGAATAAATAGACATTGATTTGCACAGTAGATTTTTTATTGCTAAATACTAATGTAATTTGCTAGATTCTAATGGGTGTTTTGGTATTTAAAATCTGGTAATGGATTTTTTTTTAAAGTGTTACATTTGGTATATTACATTGAAAATGTGTTTATTTACAAAGGAAAAGAAAACATATATCTGAATGCATGATTGCACTCAACTTAGACACTATAAACAATGACCATCATTTAAGACGAAATATAATACTGCATTCTAAAAAAACATGAACTTATGTTTTGCAATCTATGTTCATGAGCAAGCATAATATCAAGATGTTGGCAAGAGCAATGTACACAGCATTGGTGTACATTAAAAAAAACTGCTGGAATATCAGTGAATATAAATATCACCTCTGACAATTGTCAGTAACATTTCATCATTTTGTACCATGCTAGTTTATTTTAAGACATATAAGACAATTCATAAATGCTTATAATGGAACACTTGCAGCCCTTGTAGCGTTTGTAACACATTAGCAATCATATGGTAGATGCTTAGTAAAAAAGAACATTTTCTTATCAATTGCCAAATAAATCAGCAATACATATTTCAAAATTATTTTCTCTCCCCAAATTATCTCTGGTGGTGCTGTAACAGAGCACTTGACTCACGAGTGAAAAGCTGTAAGTTTGAAACCCGGTCGAGCATTGACTCAACTCACAATCCCTCTGTTGTTAATGAATAGCCCACCACAGCATTGCGAGTTGCAATATAGTTTCAGGATTGTTAGATTAGGTACTTTTACAATTTAATATCCATGTACTATTTGACAAATCCAAAACTTTTAATAGTTTTAAAAGTGTTGTGGGACTATCACAAAATATATATTATCCACGCATAGCAATACATGAAGTCAAAATATCATACCTGAGCTCTTAAATTTGTCGGCTGTTAAGACACCCTCTTGGTAGCAAACCGAAACATTATTACTGGAGTCCTTGCTCGGCAATGATGTGTAATTGTTATCAGATCCCAAAACCTGCCTTGTCAAGGTTTTGGCTTTTTCAAGCGGTGAGCTGTGGACCATCATTCCTGCTGGAGTTGAGTTCCCATTCAAATGGTGCTTAGTGTCCTCTGAAAGGGCTGTTATATACTGGCATCGTGTGTCAGTGACCTTGGAACTAAAACCATACCTACGTCAAATCCAAAGGGCACTGTAGTTGAATTGCAACAGGCTGGGTTTAAGCCACCTTTAATGGCTCGCTGTACGCCACAAAACTATAAACGTAAATGTTTTTCATGTGCTTTACCTCGAGTTGTGTTGCTCTTGGTTTTGTTGAGGCGTTTAAAAATCTTTATTTTTTTGCCCCCACCACCAAGTGAAGTGTTTATCCTATTTGTGCCACGTAGCCAAGTAGCGAAACGATGTGTTTTATGCTCATGTAGTTCACACTTTGCCTCAGACTGCCAGCCTCCACAGCTTCCCTCCAGTAATTTCCAAAGGTACTTTATTACCGTATAAAGAGGTTCTAATAATATATCACATCCCTTTGGCAACCCACGACTGACTGAATAAGGGCCTTCTAATGCTTTATCCATGATGGGGATTTGTTTCACAATGCTGATAAGTGCGGCTTTGGTCAAAGGCAGGGATTCAGGACAAGTTCACAGAAATCTGGTTCATAGTACGGTGCTATTACCACTGCGCTTCTCTTTCACTTGATAAATAAATGATATCTTAACATGATTTAATAATGCACTGCATTTTCCAACCTTTCCAGTAATTTAACAATTGGATGTTTTCCCTCTATAGTTGATTTATAAATATTTAACAATGAAGATGAATGTGTAATTGTAGGTGACAGTGATTGACTTGATTTTGTCTAAGTCCAGTGGCACTCAGGAATCAGGGGGCACGCAGTGCCTACAGTTTACGTGGGAAGTGACCTCTGCCTCAGCTTTTCCATTTGCAGGTAACATGAGCAGCTGATTAATCAGTTAGAGCCCAAAAAGAAAGCAGAGTCGATGTGTAATGTAGCAGTGGCTGCTACTGAGCTCTCGCCAGACCTATTCTGGTAGGAAAATGAATTTCACTGCATAAAAATCCTGACGCAGAACCCAGTTACTTCCCTTACCTGGAGCCACAATATGTCCCTGTCAGGGATGAAGTGTACTGGCCTTTTCAGCATAAAATAGACTTGCCTAAATGAAATGGGTCACACGAGCAGGCCAAAAGTGCCTCTGCAAGATTTGATAAAGTCAGCCAGCCGTGCTGCCACTTGTGGGTATGACTCAGGCTAATTCGCCATGGCACAATTGTCCTCCTTACATCTATTAAATACAGAACACATAGTTCTTCACCGCTGAAATACCAGTCGTGGAGCGCCAAAGCTCGGTTTAGATTTGGGCAAAGGACCTCAATACTGCGAACAGATATGCCAGCGGGTGTGGCCTTCGGCAAGATCCGGACATTGTCAATGTTGCTCTTCGTTGCCGCACCCAGGGGGATGAGGGGCTGTTGGCAACGGCGCGTTCGTTGCAAAAATACACTGCAGCTGCTTCAAGTAGTCTTCACAATTGTAAGCCATGTCATTAAAACAAGACATTAAACTGCAAACAAGTGTCCGTCTGTGAACTCCCTCTTAACAACACACGCAGAGAAACACGAGCAGCTGTTGCAGTGGAAATCTCTACGTCTCTTGTTAGCCAGCAGCCATCTTAAGCATTTCCAAGACAATGCTATCAGTGCTGCTCTTTGTGGAAAATATGAGACGTTATTCAACTTCTGTACCAGACCACGTGAGGTTTCTTTCATGGACATTAATTTCCTAATGTTCAAATTTGTTCCCTTACTCATTAAGGGTATTCGCCACATATCCCCATGCAGGACCATTCCGAAGAATTGCCTTGAGACTAATTTAGGCTTTTTCAGATAAATTGATGACATTGTGCCATTAAAAAGAGCATTTTCATTCGGTATGTATGCATGCATGTGGAACTTCTTTAGCCCTGTACGTAGGCAACCGTGCTAATCAGAGGTGCGGTACTACAGATTCTAGGGTTTGATACCTGCTACAGAGCATTGTCATAAGAAACCGGCCACCTCAATTTTCTTATTTCTGGCCATGGCTAAAATAGTGGCGAGTAAAAACTGAACCTGTCATGGGCCCCCTTCACTCACCTGCAATGACCAGTGCAGCGAAGTATGATCACACAAGCCCCCTGTTACTAATATGTATTAAGTAGCCTTTATGCAGCAGTTCAGTGACAAGGGACTGTATATTACATTGTTAAACATTTAATATAAGGCACCGGTGTTTGACTGCTATGCCGAGAATACATATTTAGACAACAATGCTATACATAAATCACAATGGAATATGATTAAGTACTGAGTGTAGTCTTGCACGATTGCACGCCTAATTATGAGTGTACAGGTATTTAAAGTTTACACTGGTTTACTTTGTTGTCAATGTTATTTAAGCTAATAAATAAATCTAGATTTGAAGTTTTCGTGACTGCAGGGATCCATACTCTTATTTATTTTATACCTACGTGACTTTACCAAAAGAACCAAAGAGTAAGGTAATAAAGTTAAGCCCAACGTGACAACGCGGTTTAGAAAAATACATCTGAAAAACACGAGAGATGAATGTATTGTTTTCCCAGGATGTTAATAATGCATTGCTAGAGGGCTCAAGTCTGGGTGCATGTACGGTCACGTGGTGAGAGCATATAACACTCACAAAGCCTGCAGCTCCACCTAATGAATGACAGAGTCATTTTCATTTTTATTCACTCTTCTCCAGAGAGGCATTAAAAAACATGACTATTAGCACAATAGAGTTGCAGACATTAAGAGTCGCTTCTGCGCAGCTACCGAAAATGTAAAAAAAGATGAAGAATGGTTAACACTGCGTGGATACCAGTGGAATGTATCCAGCAACGCTTGTCTTTCATGCCGGCAGTGTGGTATGGGTGGCTTGATGGATTCTAGCATTTCATCAAAACTCTCAATCTAGTAGTACATGCTTCTCGTAACCAATTAATCATATTGCCATTTTCTAGGCATCTGATGTATGAACAATTGGGCAATTGGGTTGGAAAATATTCAAACCCTATCCTCCTGGGATTTGATACATGTGTAGTGAATTGACGAGTCACTGGAGCGCGTGCCACTGGGAAATTGGTAGACAATAGAATAATGGGTTCTAGATTTGAAGCTTTCGTGACTGCAAGGATTCATACTCTTAGGTTTTTTCGGTAAAGTCACGTAGGTAAAAAGAAATAATACAAATTAAAATAATATAAATAATAATAGAAATCAAATTATAAATCACGACGTTTCGGAGGCAACACAAGTCTCCGTCATCAGGTGAGACCGTCACAGCTAGATTTGACAGCCCGTTCTACCAGTTGCACCTGTGGGCAAGGCACGGAGCACTCTGGGGGATCCAGAGGGGTGCGGGGCCGTGCGCGGAGCCTGGCCACACTGGGCAGGATAAAAGGCGAGCTCCGACTCACAATCGAGGTTGTTGCGATCTGGAGTATTACTCGTCGTGCCGGCGTTGTCGTGATCGTTGCTCTCTGCAAGCTGTGGGTCTGGCAGCATGTTGGCTGTCCCGACCCAGAATATAGTTAACCCCTAAGGCTGTGAAGGCTGGAATAAAAGAGAGAGTCTTCTACTAGTGTCTGTGAATTGGTGCACTACACGCTAACAATTCCAGATCATGATTCAATTCAACAGTTGATGGTTTTGCATCGGTTGCTATGTCTGGTCTTCACGGTTTCATTTGTACTGTCTCGTGCGATCTTTGTCATTCATTTTAACCGTGAGAAAAAATGTACATTTTCACAAATAGAAAATTATACATTCCTGCAAGCATGAGCAAATGAATTTTGAGTGTAGTAAGTGATTTTTAAATGATTTAAACAATGAATAATTACATAACCAATAGTGCTTGAATGGGCTTCAAAATAAGCATATAAATATAGTATACATCCAGTATTACATTGATGTAGTTTATTTATTTGTATCGCTATTAAAATACTTTTAACTGTTCTTATATGTTAGAATCTTACTTGTAAAAAACAAAAAAAACTCGACACGTTTGTCAAGAATACTGCCCTTAAAGAAATCGTATATGCAATCAAGTGTTGTTTTGGGAAATGGCCCTTCTTCATAGCTCCTAACTAAGAGAGATCTGAGAGACGGAGTGGATATTAAGGGTTGAGACTGCACTTAACACCATGGGGTATGAATACAATTAGATTTCTTTGCGAATTACAGTTCTCAAACTGGCATATGAAGTTCCCTCTTCGTAACTATTGATGAATAGACATAGACATCCTTCAATAATTAAAATGGATTACGAAGTAAAATATTTCGTATTAAAAGTTAAATGATAAAATGTTAAATGTGTAGGATAACTTGACTCAATTATCATTATTTGGTGTACTCCTTTAAAAAAAATAACTGCTGTATACCCAAGTATTATTTGCTAAATACGCAATGAATATCCACTGGATTTTCAGTTAAAGACTTTCAACACATTTCCGAGCTGTTGTTTTAAGAAGATTAGAAACATTTCAAAAACACTGTACGTTTTTATAGCCTTATTTTGCAGTACATGGAGAGCAAAAATAATGTTATTTTCTAATGTGATTAAATGAAGTATTATATGTAATCTGAATATTGTATATTAATCAGTATCCATTACTTCACCGTATATTAAGCCAAGCTCTAATGCAATTTTAATCTTGAGAGCAGTAAAGCACTCGGGGTTTTTTTGTATGAATGGCTTTCAAATTAAGATCAATATTGTATTCCAAAGCATAATATAACTTACGGTGCTGGCCAAATTTTTTTTTAGAAGTCATTGTCCACCGTAACTGAAATAAAACAATACAGTACACTATCCATTCCTACGAGCCACACACCGTGTCTTGTGTGCTGGGTTGGTCACGCAGAATGAAGGCTGGGTTTGGTTTTGAACCCATGACCCTTGGACTCTAAGACTCGCGCAATCCTTGTCATTCTGCCCTGTTTCTCAATGTGAGGTCATTTGGGTGAGAACATGATTGAAATCTGTTATATAACGGCTTGG